TAGCCTGTTCCAAACGGAACAAACGTACTAAAAAAAAAAAAACTGACACATTTATGTTGAATTAAAAAAACAATGAAATAATAATCCACCTATGCTCTATAAATATAAAACTATACACATGCAATATTGTAAAATAATATAAAATAAAAAAAAATATGAAAAATGAGTAAACTATATGGATATTAAAGTATTAAATATAGACTCCAATTTAAAAAAAAAATCCAAGACAATTCACACTGTTGTGCGATAGATTTTGCCCCACAAAACGGCAACTTTGATCCTAACAAAAACATAACGCCAACAAGGCAATATACTCTGTCGATTGCAAAAAGAATTACAACAATCGATTGAGAATAAGCAAAAATATTGCATAACACAAATCCATAAAATAATCGAGAAAGTCCTGTTTCGAAGTCTTTTAAACGACCTATTGGCACCGTAGTCTGAAACTCTCAAAGTCCCCCATTTCACAAATATAACATTTATTTTTTGTCTCTGACTTTAAGACAAAATGTACTTTTGCACATATAAACCTTATGGCATTGATTATTTTAACAATTTTGGCAAGTAATTCTAAAGATACATGATATATGTACATTATTTTACATATTTGCAATATCATATAAATTTATAACGAAACCAGTATCACAATATATATAACAATACTTTATTGCTTTAGAGGGCCTGCCTCGTGACCACAATAAAACATTGGAAAAAAAAAAACTAGGAATACTATAAAAAATGCAACTTTTTGGGAACCTTCAAAATCCACGACCAAAGATACACAAGTTTAAGACGTATATAAAAGATTTAGGAAAAATGTATTTAGAAAACTTTAAGAGCGTTTATAACTTTAGTTAGTTTACCAAAGTGTTGCCAACATTGCAATTGTAATCTACCAACTTTCAAAAACAAATAATTATTTAAAAAAGTTCTTTACTTCCATTCTTAAATGGCTGCCTCTTAATGACAGACACGAGCAAATTAAAAACATTTTGAAGCCCAATATGTATTAAGTGCAAAGTTTTTAGTTATTACGTTCCAATTCGTTGACAGAGCACTTTTTAAATGACCAATCAGAAACATTGAAAAACGTTTAAATATTTTTAAAAATTGACAGATGAACGCTCGTAAGTCTTTGCAAAGATCTCGCTTCTACATTACAGAATATCAGCATTTTAATAAAATTAATGCATATTGTATAGTAACAATAGTAATAATTTAAAATCCTACTATTTTTTCTTTGAAATAAATAGGTATAAGGGCCGCTGGTACTATGTCCTGTGCCTACACAAATTGTTGAATCCGGAAAAACGTGACAGGTCGACTATAGCGCCACTTTTCAGTCTCATATACACACACATACATAGTATATTAACAAATAGACGATGTAATTCGTATTTTGTGAATAAATTAAATTAAATCAATATATAGTTGAATTGTAATATTACTTCTAACCTCTAAACATACGTTTTAGGAACGTCAATTTAAATGTAAAAATACATTATAATTCTTTGAAGTAGGTTCAAAACAAACTCTGTTAGTATGAAATTATTATTTTTCATTATAACTAGTTATGTGTTTAGTATTTGTAAAGAAAAATTAGGATACATTTTGACTAAGTACATAATAATACTAATAACGAATAATAATAATAGAACATATTGGTGTTGAGGCTTACATCGGGCGCGTCGTATGCGAACATTAGTAGATAACAATAAATGAAATTTTCCAAATATGTAATTAATTTTAAACTTTCCCGTTGTTTACACATATATTTTAAATACACAATCGAGACTTGAAACGACGTAAAAACCTTTACAGGTAAATAGTACTTACATACAATAGCTACGGTAACCGCTTACCATCAGGTGGGCCGTATGCTTGTTTGCCACCTCAGTGGTATAAAAAAAATACGTCGTTGTCACAGGACGTGGTGTAATCCACGTCGAAACGTCGGCAATAAAAAAGCAGGTATATATTTACAGGCTTTAAGATCGCGTTAAATTCCGATTGTGTATTTTAAATACGTAATTATTTACACATTGTAATGTCTATATAGGCTCATTATGTTATCTTCATAAATTAGCTAATATATAATACGGATTGTGGACATATTTGTCGGATTTCAGAAAGATAAGATCCTACATTTTATCTTCAGATATTCACAAAATATTTTGTGTTCACACATGACGTAAAACAATGTTTCCAAGGCGTTCCTTTAATCTAATATACTAATGTAATTATCATAGCGCTGCAACTACTTTAACGTTTTACATTAAACCGCTTTTATTATCTTGAAACATATTTTAAAGTATTTTGTGCTATAATACATTGAACGCTCTGTATAAGCAACCTCTCTCTATAAGCAACATTCTTTATATATTTTATTTATTCTACTCAGCTTAATTAGTAAAAGAAATAAGTAACAATACTTTACAAAATGGTAAGTAATTTTATACTCCTTTTTACCTTATAAGCAACTTTTTCCAATAAGATTTTCTTATTGAAATAGGTTCACGTAAGTTGCTTCATATATAGAGCGTTCACTGTATAAATGACTTTGTGCTATCTCATTCTACTTTAGAAATGCTTGTTGAATTTTATGACAAAAAAAAAATTATTATACATTTTCTAGAAAAAATATTATTAAAATTTATGTGAGACCAACATGGCAGACAACACTATTCCCGCGGACAAAAAAAAAAAAACTAAAATGTCTTTTTTTTATACATCTTAGAATGGCAATCAAGCTGAGGGCCCACCTGATGGAAAGTGGTAACCGTCGCCTATAGACATGAGCAGTACCGTGGACATAACAGAGTATACTGTTTCGACCATGATAGCCCCCATGCGTTGCCATTCTACAACAATATTGTTGAAGACAATAGCGTAATATACTAAAAACAACCAATTTGTTGCCTGTATTTACAAGATTTTATAAAGCTTTCCTTTAAAAATATCGAAAATAAACTGAAAATAAATAAAATATAAAATTTTGAATGAAAATAGCAACCAATTCGCTAATCCTCGCGTCAGACACGATGGATATCACATAAGGCATTTCATTACGATTGGTATTAGTATATATTGGTAATATTAGGGCATATATTGCTATAGTTATTACAAATGGGCATTATCATTTTAATACACTTCCAAAAATGTACGAATATAATAAACAAAAACCGTCTAAATTTATTATGGCATCTATTAAATACAATATAAGGGTGGGTAATATATATATAATATATATATATATATATATATATATATATATTAGTTACAATATCTATGTATTGATCGAATAATGAATATGTTAAAAGTCTGTTATCCAAAAAATAATACTGGCTAACAGATTTCACATATTCGAAAATAGATATCCGATATGGGCGATATCGAAATGGGTGATGACCTTTTCTCCGCCATCAATGTCCAATATATATATGATGAACCCAATATATAGATATCGGATATGTATCCATATTACCCATGCCTAATATACTAACTACTGTAATACTGGGGGGAAAGGGATTGTTAGTAGTGGAGACTGAGAATCCCATTGCTAGCAATATACCCAACCAGGTCGACCTCCTCGCGGTTCCCCCTGGAAACTATCATGGTTAATTCCTGATGAATTCATCATGATGGACTAACTGGCCTGTTTTCATTCTCATCTATCACCTTTCACTGGTGCTCCGCCAGCGTATCCCGTTAGCGCAGGCGGGGTTACCATACCATTTTCACCCATCAAAAAAAAAAAAAAAAAAACTACTGTAATACTTGACAGGGTAGTCCAAATCATTTGTAGGCATTAGAAGTGGAGCAGTTAGATGTAAGGTGTCACAGGAGCAGCGAGTAAGTGACATCAAATTTTATGTTGGTAATTTTGAGTCAACAGTAGTGATGTGCCGGATAGTTAAAAACGTATATCCGAAGATACGAATATGCATCTATAGTTTATAGTCACTAGAACTTATAGAGAACAAAATAGAATTTACAAGAGAACATTAGCCATGTAGCAACCAAATCGCTTGATCATTGTAATATAGTAATACTGCAATAACTTCCACCTTTTATAAGGAGAGATCCCTGCCCAGCAGTGGGAAATCAATGGACGATTGTGATAATGATAAATGGATATAATATTCGACTTATTTTATGTTTCTTCTAGCCTCTGTTCTGTGAAAGAACTGTATTGAAATTTTTGGATGCAAAGATGGTCTAAAATCGTAACTGATACTTTGTTAAGAACAAATGTTTCAAGTTTAGTATTTTTTTTTTTAATGTAAATTACTCTGCCATTAAACCATATTGGCAGAATTGTGTTGATACAACATTTAAGTAAGTACAATTGTGATAAATATTCAATATATGATTAAACATTTAACAATAATATATAGGAGTGTTAGAATACTTGATTTCTTAATTTCAATTAAAATTTTTTTTGGAACATTTGTGCCTATACAACAATAAGTTATTGCAAATTATACATTGCACTGCATTATTGCAAATTTAATGTCGTATACAAAATAAGAGTAGTAATTTAATAAATCCAAATTTTAAACTTACGTTTAAACGCATATATAAACAGTGTTAAAATTATAATAGTACAGTAGATACTCGATAAGTAGTAAAAATGTGATCTTAAACTTATTCTATGGGACTTGAATGAATTTAGCAAGCATAGAGACTACTTTAGTAACAATAAATGTAATAAGAAATACAAATTCACCTGATTATAACACCAAACACTGGGGGGAAAAGGATTGTTAGCAATGGAGTTTGACAGCCCCATTGCTAGCAATATACCTTATTAGGTCGACCTCCACGTGGTTCCCCCTGGAAACCATCGTGAACAATTCTTGTTGAATTCGTCACGATGGGCTAACTGACCTGCTACATCCTCACCTATCATTCTTCACTGGTGCTCCGCCGGTGTATACCGATAGCGCGGGTGGGGTTACCATTCCATTATCATCCATTTAAAAAAAAACACCAAACACTGACTTGCATTTATTGACCACTGTCCAATTCCAAAATTTCAATATCATTTTGTTTTTACAATCCTATATTGAGCAAGTATATATATGTATGAGCAGTATTTTTTATTGCAACAACAATTATTTTTATTGTAACAAAATTTGTTTTTTTTTTTAATCACAAGGAGGAAGAGCAAAGGAGCATATGGCCCACCTGCTGATAAGTAATTAGTCACAAAATCAGAGAAATGCCAAACTGTGGGTCTTTTAGGAAAGAACAAGGCTTTAATGTTGAATTATCAAAATGGGTCCAGCTTTGGCAAAGATATTGCATAATACATACTGATTATTTAGACATTTTTACCACTGTGTTTTTATTAAACATTCTAATGTTTACAATCAGATAGGTTTGAAATATTGTCCATTACATCAAGTTTTAAACTCATTCAAAGGATTATAACACTATCATATATATATATATATAGTGTAGTTTAATAAATTGAAAGACTGGTGCAGATATGATCATATACATATTATGGTATGACAACCACTGTCAATCATTACCATTAACATTTTGAAACTCTTCAAGGATTTGGTCAAGAAATAGCAAAACTAAGATGAATATTGCATTTGTACTCGAGTCTAATAATTTCATCAAGTATTAATTAAATCTATATAAAAATCAATTTGTAACTACTATTTATTAACAGTATATCTTATACTACTAATGTACTTCACACATTTCATTACCTATTCATAAAAACATCTAATAAACCAATTTTAGCTCATGTTTTGTCTTTCTCTTTAGAATTAAATTCTTGAATTAAAGAAAGTGACATAATACTAATTATTTAAAATAGTGGACAGTTTTTATGAATAAGATGTAGTTTATGATATATATATATTCTCACATTAAAGTCGTAAATGCTTAAAAATGTCTAAAACTAATCCAGGCACAATTCTTTCTTGAAGTCTGACTATTCATTGGCAATGCCTTACCATGCACACAATATACCTCTCCGTTAATTATGATTATGTTCACTAAATGTAGTCATCTATTAACTGATCAGTAAAGAATCTAAAGTCATCTTTGGTACCTTAATACTATACTATGTACGTAGAGCACTTCGGTTTCCGTCTGAGACATTGCTATACTGTATCCACCTTGGCATTGTTTATAAGAACATAATTTGTTTTTGGTTTACGTTTGAATGTGACATATGTGTACAGTAGACTTGCTAGGACACTTATGTTCAGGCCAACGAAATTCAAATACGAGAAGACATAATCTCCTCCAATGACCATACCTAAGTAGGTTACGCAGATATTTTTAAGGCAACCAATGATTGTTGTTGTCAAGGCACTGTTGTACTGGGTACACAACATCACACTGTACGATAATACAAAACCCATTACACACGACATAATGAACTGTATTACGAATAGTGGATTATTCCAATCTGTAAACTCCACAGAATGTTCCAAATCGCCTGTACACCAAGCCACTATAGTGGCTGGAACTAACATAAATAATGCATTGTAATACATCAGTCCGTATTTGCCAAGTTCTTTAGAATCTAACTTTTTCTTCATGTATACTCCATTTGCAGCTGTAAACGCATCATTGAGAAGAACAAGTGTGTATCCTGACCAGGAGAATGTGACATCATCAATAGCTGCCAATAAAGCACCTCCAACCATAGCTAATACACTGGCCTGTACCGGCCATGAAGCTCTAACACCAAGGACAAACCTTTCTCCTAACATGGTCATCAGGATGCTGAAGCGACGTAGTGCTGTGAACATCGGCAGGCTGAGCTCCTTCGTGCCACCTAGTCCTGTGGCCATGTTTCCCAAGTAGATAAGTGGCAGTGGCCATATCCGCCGCGCCACCCCACCGTCCAGAGGCGGGAACTGAACCATTTTTATATATCTGCCGCTCCACAACACGACGATAGTGGCGACCATTTGGCCTAAGCCCAGAACTTGATAGGACGGGAACGCATACGTGGTTAACACAGTTTTATTCACTACAGTTATCATAAAGGATGCGAGGGCGTAAAACGCTGCGCTTAATATTTTCTCCGTGACCTGGGACCTCTCGCCTTCAACTTCATCCTGAACGTTTTGTCCCGACATAGCGACGTACACGTATTTAACACGAGTAAAAGGAGCCTATACGAACATGTTTAATTAGGCGGACGCGTCATATATGTTTATCGGTAATGACGATACCGTCATAAAATTCGTAGTCTGTTCACACGAGGGCCGCTTTCATGGTCAGATAGTTAATACTTTCATTGAAAACAAATAGTATAAAGAAAACCTTAGTCAAATTGTAAGTACATCAAATCGTGAATTTTGATGAGCCAGACGCCGATGACAATTGACTGACAGTTGGCTGCTTCTTTGACAGTTACGAATACTGACACTTTGACTGACACTTGACTGAGATAAGTACAAAGTAAGTTTTTTAATTAAAAGTTTTAAGATAAATTGGAAGATTGGCGATAATAAAAATTAAATTTTAATTTTATGAATGTGAGCTATGATTAATTTTTAATTACCTATATTATCTTAGATTATAAAGTCTTCGTAGTACTTTATACTAAATCTAAGCATATTACCAAATAAAATCGCAACTATAATCTTAAGTCTATATTAATAAGTTCATATACCGTAGTTTCAATCTCAAAAGAGATCTCATTATATAGGCGTGATATCACATTCGTATAATTAGATTTTTGAAATTCATCAATTTTTAAATTATTGTCATAGACTACGGATAAAGTTTACCGTCGTCGTCTTTAACAGTATATATTTTAGATTTTTTGTGAAAAAAAATTTTAAGATTTTTGTAATCAAAATCAGTCTAATAACTACAATATTTTCACAACTGATCAATTAATTTAATTCAATTTTCCGGGTTTTGCTCGTGGAAGTATATTAATATACTTCAGATACTATCCTTAATATATATCTATATAACTAAGAACAAGGAATTACAGAAATCTTTGCAATATAAAGACATGTACTAAATCTATGATTAGTATATAATATAGTCAAACTAAGAGTAATGCAGCTAAATATTATAATAGTTGATTAATTTCTAAAATTATATTTTTAAACCAAAACAAAGCCGCAATCTTTCAGTGTTACAAAAAAATTCCATTAAATATATTCATTTTTTAAATTGAATTGTTTACTACTTTTTCTGATATGATATATAGACATCTGTACATATTGCTTACAAATTAATATACATGTATTAAAATTACGACCATTTTCTATAATTTTAAAACGAAAACATAGAAGCTTACACTTAGACATAAATTAAAATAATTAGTAAAAAAGGGGGAATGGCCATTTTAAGTATACTTATTAAGGCATGAGAGTCAATTGATGAAAAAAGAGATATGATTACTTTCTTTTTGGATATGTCTAATGATTTTATAGTTTCAGGAATAACCTTAAATCAACTAGGCATTTTTTTTTATACATCTTAGAATGGCAAACAAGCTGACGGTCCACCTGATGGAAAGTGGTAACCGTCGCCTACAGACATGAGCAGTACCATGGACATAATAGAGTGTAGTACTGTTTCGCCCATGATATCCCCGATGCGTTGCCATTCCTGAGGACTCAGGTGTTATTCCTCTGTACTCTGTAAATTCACGCTATATCCCACCCTTCAAACCGAATACGTGGAATAGTCCTCAAATTAATAGAAAGGTATTTAACTGATACGTACCAAGCGACAACAGTAATAATACACTATAATGAATAACTAAAAAACATGTTGTTTAACAACATAGGATCCTTCTACAAAGAAAAACGAAATAGGGAGTTCCACAGGGGTTGTCTAAGAATTATATGTAATAAAAAATCCGGTCAAATGAGAGTCGGACTCGCGAAACGAGGGTTTTGTACTAAAACATCAAGTTTTAATTTTTTTTTCGTGAAATAAATACAAATTTATGGTTTTTGGATTTTTTTCCTTTATTTATGCTACATGACATTGCTTCTTGCTAAATTTCAACTAGGTCAGCGGAAAGTACCCTATACGTTTTGATTCATATAAACGGCCTAAATAATATGATTGAATATAAACGGCCGTATCTTTCGCTTGCGTCTATTTAGAAGCTTGATTTTTAACCGCTTTAAGAGATTGCAGACCTGAGTATATGATATTAAGTTCAATTCGATATCTCCACGCGTTCTTAAGAAAAAGGATCATGACAGACGGACAACGAAGTGATTTTATAAGGGTTCCGTTTTTTCCTTTATAGGTACGGAACTCTAAATAGTGATGAATCAGTACTACCATTATTTAAAAGTAAAGGATATTTTATGTTGGCATGTATATATATCAGAAATCAGCTTATTTGTAACAAACAATATGTACTTATTCAAAAAGAATTTAAAAATATATCCATATTTCAAAGGCGATCATCAGATTTCTTCAAATTCAAAATGAAATGAGATGAGAAACGGTTACTCGCTGGCCGCCCGTAGGTTGTTGAGTTTCCGAACCCAAGGATCTTATACCTGGTGCGGTAATTATGTTGGGGGAGGAGACCGGAGTGGACTCGCTTGGGCGTACGTCGCAATCCATCGATAAGAGTCGACATTCTGTCGCACCCCTCTCGCTAGCTTGGAATACTATTCGTACTCGCTCCTGCACACGCGCCCGACGAAGCAGTAAAAGACATCTGCAGCCAGCAGAAAAAAGATATAGAAGCAAACTTTGCTTAGTCATGTATAATGGATGAGTTGTAATAAAAATGAGATTAAAATAACAAAGTTTATAACAATTTATTAACAACTAGCTGTTGCCAGCGACTCACGGTTCAGTGGTTTTGATGTAACAGACATATTCACTGCTCTTCTCTTATTGATCGTAGTGTGCTGAAAAGTATACTATAACCTGCCCAGGAGTGTGAAGAATAATTGTACCATATTTCGTTAAAATCCGTCGAGTAGCTTTTGTTTCTATAACGAACATACAGACAATTAGGCAGACAGACAAAAATTTTACTGATTGCATTTTTGGCATCAGTATCGATCACTAATCACCTCCTGATAGTTATTTTAGAAATATATTTCATGTACAGAATTGACCTCGCTACAGATTTATTATAAGTATTATTTTATTTTTTGCGTCTGTGGTTATATAAAAATTATTTAAATTTTTTTGTTTTAATGTATATAATGAATTTAAAAATAATTATTACACTTATGCAGCTATAATAATTATTTTTAAATTTAACGGTCTGTTGCTTTTGTCAAGTTGTATCGATACTATCGATAAAATCTCATTGACGTTTAATTAAAATTACTATTAGTAATTATTTACGTATTTGTTATTTTTTACTTTGAAAGCGTCAAAGTATTAATTTTAAACGTTATAGTTTCCTCTGTCGATTTATATATAAATTATTTTATGGTTCAAAATATTATATTTAAATAAGTAAAATGTTTCAAACGTATTTACACGAAAAAAATGAAATCATAATTGTTTTTCTTTTATTTATATTACATACAAGTAAAATACAGTTAATTTTAACTAACTACATTCACTTAAAATAACTAATTCGACTTCATAAAGTGATAATGATTAAAAATTATTTTGTTCATACTTCCGCCATATTAACTCTGAGCATATATTGTGCGAATTATGGGCCTATCGTCTATCTCACTCTAACATATACGTTATTATATTTTCTCTCTCTTACATTGCCAATCATACATTTTATAATCTAGGTCTACATCATGATTGCCAATAAAAAATTAGATTTTTTTTTCTATTTCATTAGAATAAACAAGACCAAGACATCAATCAAAAAGTTCTATAGTTGTTACGATTTTTATAAAACTTAATTTATTATTTCAAATATTTATGTTTAATTTATGCAATCTTATATATACGTAGACAGTAATAAATAGATGACTTTAAAGTAAAAATATAAATAATGGTTAATTGAAGAATTCGACAAATAAGCGCTTGGTTGCTTGCTTTGTATCAATTTGATTCTGACATGTACCATGTAAACCATGTTTGTTGGACAATGAACGGTGCATTGTGAACGAGACAAGCGACATTTTGTTATTTTTTTCATGTATTGCCATGCCAGTCAACATTATTTGTATTGCATTGTAATTAATTGTGTATAGTTCTGTAGTAAATTATATGTGATGCTGTTAACATGAATATTTAGAGTCGAAAGTGTCTCGCGTCTAATACGTTTACGTGGGCAACGGCAACGCGTTTCATTTTCAGGCAGTGCGATGTTTCATTGTGTGGACGCGTAGTTGATCTGAAACTTGTGTACAGTTAGTCGCGCTGTGGGACGGGCGTCGGCGTCTCGATTATCGCGGTATCGGGCTGAAATGGCGATGCCCGAGCAATTCTCTTTACGATGGAACGATTTCCACGCGAATCTATCTCAGTCGTTCCACGCGTTGCTGGAAGGCGAGGACTTGGTGGACGTGACACTGGCAGCGGGCGGGCAGTATGTGCATGCTCACAAGCTCATACTGTCCGTGTGCAGTCCCTATTTCAAGGAGCTTTTCAAGGTATGAGTCATCCCTTAGTTTTCCTCGAGATACCTGCCGAGTTCGCGGCACTTATCTTGTCAATGTTTATCTGCTAGATAACTCCACATTAAAGTGCTCCTCTTGACTTGCAGTGAGTCTAAAACTGATAAATTATGTATTTGTTTACATTACTGATAATTTTGTGATCATTATTATTGGCATTGTTAGTCTGAAATAGTCATTTGGATTCTTTGTTACTGCAATTTTGCCCCAATAGCAAAATTATATGTGTCCAACAGACCCTTATAAATATATTAAAATTCTATCTACTTTAAAATTGTACAAATAGCTCAATTTTGATTGAAGACATACCAACATTGAATATTCCTTTGTCATCAATTATTTATGAAGCTTGTTTTATACTTAGCAATATAAATAGATATAAACTGCAAGTATAGCTAAAGATAAAGAGTGTTGCACAATAAATTTATAAACCCAGATATACATGAAGCTATTTTATATCTCAAATCAATAAGGTTTTTTTAAAGGCTCTTATGTCTACATTTGGTTTTTTAGAAAAAAAAAATTAAATAGTCTATAGAATCTGGTAAAGACTATTTCACATGAGTGTGAATAATAAAACAATATATCAATTTGAGACTAATTCTGTTATAATATCATATTATATTGTTTATATATAGTGTATATATTGTTTTATTACTGTCTGCTTTAGTAAAATATGGCATTCAGTAATATTTAGGTAGCAAATTAACTATACTTACAAATCATATTAGATTCATACGGACATGTGGATTTGAACTCTTTTCGCTTATTCAAATTATTTATCAATTTTATTATAGGAAAGAGTTTCTTTATGTCATTAAATCTAGTTGACTTTATATTTTTTCTTTTAAATTGATAATTTTTTTTACTCTCTTATGTGAGACTAGAACAACTGCTGTTATGCATTGTTCACCGCTCTATCTTATAATAGTTAATTATGAAGGATACCCACTTTTATATGTATTTTAATACTTGGATTTTTTTTATGGATGATAATGAAATGGTAACCCCGCCTGCACTAACAGTATATGCTGGCGGGGCATCGGTGAGCAAGTTAGTCTATCGCGATGAATACACTTGGAATTTAGCACAATAGTTACTAGGGGGCACCACATGGAGGTTGTTGTGTCAGAGTATATTGCTAGCAATGGGATTGGTTGTTCACATTATTAACAATCCCCCCCCCCCTATACTTGGGTTTGATTATTTCATTCCTTCATACTCTCATATATAAAATTCATCTCTTTTATAAAATTCTTGGTATTTAAAAGCATAATTTTATCTAAGAATTCAAATCTTTCCACATTGGGAGTGTCATTTCTTTACTAACATGGTATTATCACGATTATAGCATAAATGCTAATGCAGATTTATGTTTTTTACGAAATAATTACAATGAGAGGAGGAATTACATAATATTTGATATGTAATCAATGAGAATTGAGTATGAACATTGACAGAACTTATGAATACTTATAAATTTGTTTGTTTTTTTTATTTTATAATATACATGAAAACAATAATAGGTATATAATTAAGGGCTATATCTATTCTCTTATGAGACCCAACCTCAGCAGTTGTGTTAATGAGGCTAAAAATATCTATAACTCATACATAAATATGTCAGATTAAGATCCTTTTTCCTTATCTTACATATAAGTAATGTACTTTTAGTTTATGATTTATGTATTTCGGTTTCAATAAATAAGTAAATATACAATCTTTTTGAATTTTCTAATACAGCTAATGTGAATGGAAACCCAAACATTGTGATTTTTACTACCTAGTATTTTTTATCAGTTATGAGAGGTTTTTATTTATCTAGTTTAAAATAGGCAACTTTAAAATTACAATTGTTTTATTATATACCTGTTCAAAGCGTATGGAGAGACTTTTTTCAAGTACAGGACATTCTGTGACTTGTATTTATGTTCCCTCAATATGTTACGAATTATTTTGCTTATTATTTTGAATAATTCTATAAAGAGCTTGGTAGATTAAATTTTGTGCTCAGTTTTTCTCTATCATAATTCAATATTAATTTACTTTAATGATATACATTGTTGTTTTGACACAAATTTCTGGATTATATGGAAAAAATGTCAAAGCAAGTACAGAAGATATTAGAATGAAAACAAATGTATTATTACTTGTTTAAATTTAATAATTTATCCTACTTATATTGGTTATTGAACTAAAAACTCTTAATTATAGAGGTAAACGTTGAAACAATTTAAAAACTAAAGTCTCAGCTATTGTAGTTTAAAAATTACCAGTAACAGAGGTCTTTCAATGCAAAAGTGTTAGGACCTCATTATAATTAGCAGCGAAGGTCTCTCATATATCCAACGCCTACTTTACCAGGTTTCACTGTATTATGGTGAACATATAGTTTCATACAAGAGATGGTAAATGGATATTTTTTTTTGATGGGTGAAAATGATATGGTAATCCTGCCTACCACCAGTGAAGGGTGACAGATGAGAATAAAAACAGGTCAGTTAGCCCATCATGATGAATTCATCAGGAATTAACCATGATAGTTTCCAGGGAGAACCGCGAGGAGGTCGACCTGGATGCGTATATTGCTAGCAATGGGATTCTCAGTCTCCATTACTAACAATCCCTTTCCCCCCAAAGTTTAATACACATTTACTCAGGCAATTTGTTTATCAGCATAACTGTGACTTAACTATTTTGCTTCACGAGATATTTAAATGGTAGTTACTTAAGTGGTTAAGAGAAATTTTTCTCTAATGACTGGTAATTAAGTAATATTACAAGTTTTTTTTTTTATTAGTGACAAATGGAGGATGTTTAATGATATTTCATTATAGAATTAACTCACTTCTATGGGATTGTGTTTATTTTTTTATTTAATGTAATGTATTTTTTATTTATTAATAAATAAATAAATAAAAAATAAAAAAAAAAATGTAGATTAACTATTTATTGTTGACATCAAATGTTGGCCTAATTAGCAATATTTTTATCTTTCCAATATAGGTATAATGAAACATTTGAATTCAATAAGTAAATAGTAAAAAGACATGTATTGCAAACTATATAGCAGTGATTCTTTTTTCCCCTGGTTGGCCCCTTAGTTTTTTTTTAATGGGTGAAAATGGAATGGTAACCCCGCCTGTGCTATCGGTATACACTAGCGGGGTACCAGTGAGAGGTGATAGGTTAGGATGAAAAGTCAGGTCGGTTTTTTTTTTGATGGGTGAAAATGGTATGGTAACCCCGCCTGCGTTAATGGTATACGCTGGCGGAGCACCAGCGATGGGTGATAGATGAGAATGAAAACAGGCCAGTTAGCCAATTCATCAGGAATTAACTATGATAGTTTCCAGGGGGAACCGCGAGGAGGTCGACTTGGTTGGGTATATTGCTAGCAATAGGATTCTCAGTCTCCATTACTAACAATCTCTCCCGCCCCCCCTCCCTGGTAGTATGAGGTTGATATAATTTTACAGGTTTGTTTTATGGAATTTGAAGTTTTATTCATTCATATCATGATGTTATCTGAGATGTAACAAGCAATTTTAAATATTATTCTAGTGTTTTTAAGACTTCAAGAAATTTTGATTCATAATTATGTATTTATATTTTGTGGTACAATTTGATGTTGATACTACATTTCTGGTGAGCTCCATATCATGGTGGTGAATTAATTTAATATTATTTAATTGTATTTGAACTTTTTTTATTTGTCCAGGCGTTCTGAGATATACTCCCAGATGCTCAGTACCTGATCTCCAAAACACATGTTTAATTAAATGTATAAAAAAAAAACCTTTAATATAGAATAGCTTAAAGGTTTTTTTTTATACAACTTAGAATGGCAAATAAGCTGACGGCCCACCTGATAGAAAGTGGTAACCGTCGCCTATAGACATGAGCAGTACCATGGACATAACAGTATACACATACTGTTTCGCGCATGATACCCCCCATGCGTTGCCATTCCTGAGGACTCAGGTGTTATTTCTCTGTACCCAGTGAAGTGCTGGAGATTGGTGTGATTGTGTGCCACTTATTATTGTTATTATGTACAGATGAATCCCTGCGAGCATCCGATCGTGATCCTGAAGGATGTGCCGCATCAAGAGCTGCGGCAGCTGCTGCAGTTCATGTACAGGGGTGAGGTACACGTCCGCCAGCAGGAGCTCTCGGGGTTCTTGCACACAGCTGAGCTGCTACAAGTGAAGGGGCTCACGAGCGGCCGAGAGGTTGGTTTTGAACTTTCTCGTGAGTTTTTTTTTTAATGAACGGTAATGAATTGATGATCCCGCCTGTGCTAACGGTATACGCTGGCGGGGCACCAGTGAGGGATGATAGGTGAGGATGAAAGCAGGTCAGTTAGTCCATCGTGAAGGATTCCATGAGGATTAACCACGATGGTTTTCAGGGGGAACCGCGTGGAAGTCGACCTGATAGAGCTGTTAGACCCCATTACCAACAATTCCTTTCCCCCATATGTCTCTGAGTTGATAGTTGTATGGCGGATCGTGGTATAGAGATTTGACGATTCCTTTCACAGACTCATAAAATCCTGCTACCCTCATTTGGCCAGGTTATAAAATTATTTCCCTAACGACAAAGATTAATATAGTGTTCCTAACACGTTGTTAGTTTTGGATCGTTAAAAAGCCTACCTAATATGAATCGTAATAGGGTTTACTTTGCATAACTCGCTAAGTTTAAATTACCTTTAATTAGGCCTTTTACACTCACTGTGATGTTAAGGGATTACATTTATAACATACAGTACATTTATTTATTTATTTCTGTAATACAAACAAAACTTTATCCAACAGAATACAACGATAGCATTATAAGTGTGCAATCCAATTATATATATTTTTTTTTATGAGTGATAATGGAATGGTAACCTCACCCGCGCTATCGGTATACACCGGCGGGGCACCAGTGAAGGATGATAGGTGAGGATGAAGCAGGCCCGTTAGCCCATCGTAACGAATTCAACAAGAATTGTTCACGATGGTTTCCAAGGGGAATCACGTGGTGGTCGACCAAATAGGGCATATTGCTAGCAATGGGGCTGTCAAACTTCATTGCTAACAACCCCTTTCCCCCCATCCAATTATAGTTGTACTCAACATTCGCAGAGATGAAACAGCATACGTTGACTTTTAATTTAAAAAAATTATAATGTACGATAAAAAATACAAAATAAGGATTCCAAAACAAAACTACCAAATTATGCTTATAAAGTATTGGGTTATCAGTGTATTCAAACATGGACGGGTTACAATACAGGCAAATTCTATTATGATTCATGTGATTTTATCTCAGTGTAGATTAATGTAAAATACACCATACCTCATGTTTCCTAAAAATTGACTGTTAAATCGTACCCTTTAAACAGAAATTCAGTTGTGCAAGCATCGTCACTTGGCGGCAAAACCACAAGTTGCTTATTAAGACTCCCATGGCGACTTGTTTTTTTTTTTTCATACAACTTAGAATGGCAAACAAACTGACGGCCTATCTGATGGAAAGTGGTAAGCGTCGCCTATACACATGAGCAGTACCATGGAAATAACACAGTATACTGTTTTGCCCATGATACCCCCTATGCGTTGCCATTCCTGAGGACTCAGGTGTTATTCCTCTGTACCCTGTAAATTCACGCCATATCCCACCCTTCAAACGGAAACACAGCCACGCAAACACAACTGCTTCACGGTTGAAACACAAATGGGACTTTAATATACACTTGATACTTGAAATATTTATTATAACATTGGTTAAAATAAAGAATTCATGTTCACAGCGCAGTGAATCCCCGCCACCAGTGGAAGAAACGCCGAAACCCAAGGTCCACCATTCAGAGACCGACAGCCAACCGGAGTGGGTGCCGGGGGGCGAGGACACAATAGCTACAGAAGCACCGCCCGAGCCCGAGGTCAAAGATGAAACCGCCAGAAGTCCACTCAAACGGTATGTCACAATATACATATGTAGATTGTGTGAGGAGCATGATGGTTTCCCAGTTTTTATGTGATACAGTGCGGTTTCCACGAACGCTTAGGCTGTGGAATGAGCTCCCTGCCGATGTTTTCCCTAAAGACTACAGTATGGGGTTCTTTAAAACTATATTAAGATTTCTTCAGGGTCGGCAACGTGGACCAGATACCACTGGTGTTGCAGGCGTCCATTGGCTACAGTGATCGTTTACCATCAGACGGGCTGTATGCTTGTTGCCACCTCAGCTATATCCTTCTTCATCCCATGTTCTATGTTTATATTAAATTCCATAGTGATTGATTAAGCCATAAGTGTGTTGGCGGTATATCAAAATTGTTTTCTTTTTTTGTTGAATAAAATGCTAAATTATTTGTTTAAATATTATACAGATTGCTCAAAAACAGTAAAAACAGCTACAGCATGAAGAAGAAACCGCGACCCGTGAACAGCAGTCCCACGCATCCCGAGAACGCTGAGTATGCATATGACGGGTGAGTGTCGCACATGCTCAGATAGTTTTTATCATCATCATCATCACACCCACGATCACCACCACCCATCATCATCCACCATCACCACACAATCATCATCACCACACAATAATCATCACGCCACCATCACTCACATCACCAGCACGCAATCATCACAACCACGGCACCATAACCCCATCACCATCACCCATCATCATTATCACCCACCATCATCGCTATCGCCACCATCACCACTACGACCATCATCACCACCGCCACCATCACCACCATCATCATCATATCAGCTTTTAACTGCCCACTGCTAAACCTAAGCCTCCTAGGAAGCCTAAGAAGAATAAGCCTCCCCCTAAGGGGTTTTCGATCCTATCAAAGGAATGTATGATGATGATCAACTAATATTTTAAAGACAGAAGATTTTATTTTTGTATCATCACATCAGCCTATAACTGTTCACTGCTGAACATAAACTTTCCCCTTGGGGAGTTTTGCCAGTAGATGCCATGCTTGTTAGGCGGATTGGCAACCGCAGTTAGGCTTTGGAGATGTTTTAAGAGGGACGCTGGTACCCTTACCTCGCCTGCCCTTAGTCGCTTCTTACGACACCCATGCTAAAGGAAGGGGTGGCCTATTCTATGCTGGGACCACTGGGCATATTTTTATAGTTTCCTCTAAAAGATTGTAGTTGTAATATTAAAAGAAATAGATTCAAAACAGGTAAAAAAAAAAAAAAAAGCTAAGGAAACTAGCTAAACAATTAAAAGTAATAGATGCATAACTTGGAACTTAATATCCGGGAAAAAGCGTGCTCATAAGGGGGAGCCACAATACAAAAAAAAAGAAAAAAAAATGGTAACAATGTGGCTTTATCGATAATAGAGTACTTTTCTAGGTTACCATTGTATTTGGAGAAGTAATTTATTATTTATTTATTATATTTCTCACCACAAACAATTAAGGACTTAACATCTATAACTTGCAAAACATTTTAACAATATTATTTGTGAGAGCTGGTGCCTGTACTAGGTATTAAACCTGTATTACAAGTCACCAGGACCCTTACCTCGAACAGTACAAATTATTGTATAAAAACTTTCACAAAAAAAAAAAGGTGATGGTGAGTACATAAAAAATTCAGATACAGCGTGTATACAAAATAAATAGCTTTCGATATGTATAACATTAAAACAAAAACAAATTATATGCTAGCGTAAATAAGAATGCATTAAAATATAAGTAAAAAAGTGTGACACGAGTTTATGTTATAGAGTTTATGTTATGTATGTGTATTTGTATCTGAACGTGTGACTATATATGAGTTTGTTCGGTGTGTGAGTCAATGTATGTATATGTGTATGTGCGCATGTGTGATTGTGTGCGTGTGCGTGTATGTATGTAATTGTAAACAGTTTAGACAGAGCCTAACTATGGCAAGAGATTTAGACCGCTTCGTTAATACGTCATCATCTTCCTACCCTTATCTTAATTATTATTTGGGGTCGGCGTAATATGGTTTTATCCATATTACAAAAGGATTTAGCTTATAGTTTTACGACCGGCCGCTTGCCTGACGTCAACCCTCTTTGGGAATGTATTCGTTGGTGGTTTCCGCCACCTACGGTGGGAAAAAAGGAAGGGAACGTTGGAAGTGCGTAAAGGAAATTAGTAAATGAGAGGAATAAGGGACTTACATGGGAGAGGAAAGAGGGGGACACTGCAGTGCGGGAAAGACTGGGACAGTGCAGCGGCTCGGGAGGCCGGGGTCGCATACCCGTATGCCCTTATTCTAGAATCGGACAGATTCCTAGTGAAGAACACCCCTGACACGTTCGTTAATACGTATGGACATTATATTGTTTACCTATTGTTGTAGTAACTGACAATAATGTATAGTTAATTATTTTACTAATTGCCAACAATTCATTAAGATTCCGTGTCGAGCACAAGTCTAGCCATCAGAGGTGACGTCCTCTGATGGTCTCTCTGACCTCCATTTCTGTGTATTTGTTCAACCTTAATTATATTGTACTCTAATTTATATTATTACTCTTTAATGGGTTCTCGAGTGGCGACCCTGTAAGGGCAAACGCTGTGTAGAACGACTCCCCCGCTGGATAGGATTTTTACCAGAGGGAGACTTTGTACAAAAGTCGATTGCTTGGGTACCTCTGACCCATTCGTGTTTCAACTGTGAAGCAGCTGTGTTTGCATGTCTGTGTTTCGGTTTGAAGGGTGGGATATGGCGTGAATTTACAGGGTACAGAGGAATAACACCTGAGTCCTCAGGAATGGCAACGCATGGGGGGTATCATGGGCGAAACAGTATACTCTGTTATGTATATGGTACTGCTCATGTCTATAGGCGACGGTTACCACTTTCCATCAGGTGGACCGTCAGTTTGCCATTCTAAGTTGTATAAAAAAAAATGGAGTGACCACTTCAAATTCAGGGAATCAGTGTATGTGGCTTGCTCAGTACTGTTCCTTTTGGCAGTCTGTGGGAGAGGCCTGTGTCCAGAAGTAGATTAATAATAGTTGAAATAATGACGACGATGATGATGATGATGAATGGGTTTCCAAAAGGAGATAAATACATCTGTTTTTTTTTCTGAGTATGTCACGCTATTCCCGTGTGGTCCCGGCCATAGAATAGGCCACCCCTCCCTTTCCTGTGGATGTCGTAAGAGGTGACTAAGGCAAATTAATGGTAAAAATCTAAACATCTCTAAAAGCCTAACTGCGGTTGCCAACTTACCTGCCAAGCGTGGCGACTACACAGCAGTGGACAGTTAACGGTTGAAATAATAAGGAAACATGTCTTTAAAAGGTACTTACGATGAATCATTTAGTTTACGATCGAATCCTTTTTTTTTTGTGGTAATGCACACTTGTATATGTCCAAATAGTGTAGTAGTTGCGTCGTGGCGTCAGATTTAGCAAGCGTATCCACTGATCACCGCCGCCACAGTGTTTAGTCGCCATTTGAGCGTACGTGACCTGCCCACTAAGATCTCACGCTAACGTCCTATGGTCACATGTAATATATTTGCACTTGTACAAGAGTGTACTATAAATTAGACACATTCCTTAAACAGGGGAATCTACAATACATATAATAAAATCGTAACTGGTCGCTGTCTGTACATGGAAGATATATAAGAAAAACTATTATAGGGGGGCTTTATGAACGCAATGGAAAACAAAACAGTGACTTTTAGAATTTTTATCTGTTTGCCTGCACGTTTGTGCACGCTAATCTTAGAAACGGCTTGACTTATTTGAATGCGGTTTACACTAATGCGTTGCGGTTTGTTCCACTTAAATTTTGTGTTTGTTTTATTTCAATCGGTTCATAAATAAAAAAGTTATACCAATCTAAAGAATCACGTGTAAAATGTTATAAAATGACCGATCAGTGGAAGTGGCTGTAACTTTTTTTTATTATATGTATGTATTGATTTTCGAGACCATGTATGAAAAGATTGATGAATGTGGAAGAAGCGAAAGAGGTTTGTTTGAATCGAAGCATTTGGCGTTCCATTGTTTCTGCCTACCCTAATAGTAGACACGCGTGACAGATATGTATGTATGTATGTATGATTTTCGAGAGCTCTGTCTACTCGTGCGAAGTCGGGTCGGATTGCTAGTCTTCAAATAAAATTGTGGAATGCATTGTGAATTCAAAAACTGATCTTATTAATGTGAAAGTAATTTTGTTTGGGTTTAACTGGTAAACAGATTTTTTTTTAAAAACTAAGTAATGTGTGAATTCTTCGAATATTGAAGACTAGTTCAAAGACTATTTTTAGTCTATTTCTAATGATTTAAGATTGTGTTTCACAAACAAAGAACAGTTGTTTTGAATTAAAAACGATTTTGGTAACATTTCTATGAGATCAGTCTAGAAGTACATCCTTTCAGATAAAATAAAGAATTTTCCAAATTGGTTTACAACAGACTTTAGGGTTATGAGGTAATAAACATTGAAAAAAAAAATACAACGAAGCCAAATTACGATTTTTTTTATACCATTTAGAATGGCAAACAAGCTGACGGCTCACCTGATGGGAAGTGGTAACCGTCGCCTATAGACATGAGCAGTACCATGGACATAACAGAGTATACTGTTTCGCCCATGATACTCCCCATGCGTTGCCATTCCTGAGGACTCAGTTGTTATTCATCTGTACCCTGTAAATTCACACCATATCCCGCCCTTCAAACCGAAACACATTCATGCAAACACAACTGCTTCACGGTTGAAACACGAATGGGACAGAGGTACCCAAGCAATCGACTTTTGTACAAAGTCTCATTCTGGTATTTATGTGTGAGTGATTAGGTATTGGTATTCAAAGTATAATTACATTACTTTCTTTTATGGCACACAATTATAATACATAAATATCTCTGACTGGCCCTTTGGCGATAAAGTCGTGTAAATATTCGATCGTATAATAGATCAAGTGCGAGTCAGGTCCCGTGTTCATTAGTGTTCCGTACGTATGATGGGTTAGCTTTTAAAATTTTATATAAAATCCAACATGGAACATATTGTTTTAAACACGATTCTAAATGTGTTATACATGCCAATTGTTTACGTACAAGAGGACGCGTGTGTACTAGTAACGATGTACGACATGCGATTTTATTACACGTACATTTCGTATTCAAATTTCGAGGCTGATTTTGGGCCACGATTCGTTACCTACCTCAACGGATAATTACTTTATTTTTATATTATTATTATTATTTAAATTTTTACATAATTCACATCTCCCCTCTTAAGGAGTGGAGATGGCAACTAACCCCCGGCAGAAGCACAGTCGGCCGGGGTTCAGGGCCCCAGGGAGAGAAACCGGCGTACAATGCGGGCAGAATCTAAAAGCACTGCTTTTTGCATCTTTCCCGGGAGTGAGCCGCCTCGGAATCCCAACCGTCTGAGATGTTGTTCCAGTCTGGTTGGGATAAGACCGTTCACCGACAAAACGATTGGAATGATTTCGGCGGACGTCACCCCCCACATTATTATTATTATTATATTTAGTTATTAGTGAAAGTGACGTGAAAACTATTTCTTTTTTCGATTCCTATTTATTTATTTTTTGTTTTGTTTCTTTGATTTCCTTTTTGTTTGTTTATTTTTTATTTTAATAAAACATTTCAGTGAACCGTTGATCGACTTCGACACCATGGATCCGTTTCCGAGTGTGATGATTTTACCAGAGTCTGCAAAGGAGTCCAGTAAGTATTCTGATTTGTAATTCAATATAAATATAATACATGTTGTTGACGACGTTGCTAGTATCATGGTTGACGATCATACAGCTACGCGACGAATCATGGTTCGAAGAAGAAATAATAAACTTTATTGCTGATACCCACCGTTCATATGTCGATCTCCAATATGCGCTAATTTTATAGAAAAGAAGCTAACAGGGGGAATAAATATGCACACCGGGTCAGCTAGTATATATATATATATATATATATATATATATATATATATATATATATATATATATATATATATATACATATATATTATAAATTGATATTTTTACTATGTTTTCCCATGAATTACAAAACGAAGGGCTTATACTTTTTGCTTCCTTCATGTATATATATATATATATATATATATATATATATATATATATATATATATATATATACACCTCTGTCTAGTCTATACCTTCTGCGTAGCAGTGATGTTTACGTACAGTGATCGATTTAGGACAGTCAATTTACTTAGTACTCTGAGTTAAGAGCTTTATATCTCTCATTAAGGGTTTTGCTAATATAACCTGTTGTTCTTGCAAGCTCACCATCATCAGTCATCAGAGTGACTATTATACTGATGTTTCTTTATCATATCATCAAAAGATTTCAATTTTTCAAAGTTTTAAAATTGGAATTGTATAAGTTGTTTAAAAAAACATTTTAGTACCTTGTAATAGATAGGTAGGTAATTTATTTGCGTTACAGCACACAAATAACAACAGACGTGCACAGTAAAAAGAGATAAAATAATGCATATATCGAAAAAAAAGCAAAATATATTAAATAAGTAACAATTTTTTTCTTTTCTGCGTGTGCCATGTTAACACGAAATGGTCACAACTCAGTTTATTGTGTTCTATGAATAATACATGTAATAAATTGAATGTATGAATTAACGATCTAGAATACAATGACAAAAATTACGTCTCTAGTTTTATTTATCAATGTCGGATTAATGAAAAGTTATTAGTTTTTTTTTTTTAATTATTGATTACATAAATCGATCTCGACTCTCTCGAAGAGATCTGAGATTATGTCTTTATAGTATTCACGTCCCAGTGCTGGGTATAAGTCTCCTTATGAGAGAATGTTAGCTTTTGTAATCACGTTAGTCAGGCGGCTTGGTCAGAGCTTTTTCTAGTTTTCTCTTGTATTATTGTATTTCTAATTTTGTAATTGACAGTATCAAGTATTTTCAGCTGGCTGGAACTGCAAAACTGGGGGTGTGAAGTGTCCCTCGTGCCACAGGTTCTTCGCGAACAGGTACAACTTGAAGGTGCACATACGAGACAAGCACGATACCAGGGAGGGCACGCTCCAGTGCGACATCTGCCAGAAGCGCATGCGCAACCCGTCCTGTTTACGCGTCCATATGTACCACCACCGCAAGCAGGCGGCGTACCTCGCCCAGCTGAGCAGCCAGGGTGATCAAATGCAGCACGTGTAAGTCTATAACAACGATGATGATGAGCGGTACGCTTTCTGAGTCTGAGTAACTGTTATTGCATAGGTCATGGGTTCTTAATGTGATAGCGCCCTCTTGTGGGCGTTTTGAGTACTACTGAGGGGCCATAGACGATCCAGACAAAATTAGTGAAAATTATAATTTAAATATAATAAGTGATTTATATTCGGGACACATTGGCTAAATGGGTGCTCTAAAGAAATCTTTAGATGCTTCGCCTTTTTAAATATCACGTATACTTAAAAATCCTTCATAGCTAAAACTTTGGAACATTCTTCGAGTCCGTATTTTTTTAATGGGTTTAAATGGAATGGTAACCTTGCCTGCACTATCGGTATAAGCTGACGGGCCACCAGTGAGGGATGATAGGTGAGGAAAAAAAAAACAAATCTGTTAGCCCATCCTAACGAATACAAGAATTAATCACGATCCTTTCCAGGTCGACCTGACATCTAGTGATTCTAAATTACTACATTTAGCTTATGCTACAGCATTTCTGAAGTCACACGTCGTCTGAGAGCTTCTTCTTGTATTATCATTTCCTGTAAAATACAATTTGCAGTCTTTGAACAGAGATATGGCGATTAGAATGTTGCTTTTCATGGCGCATTGCAATATGTGTACATAGTGTGTCTATATGCCCATAAAGAGAGTATTACGGTCACCATAACAGCAACGATTTGCAAGCGTTTTGTATGTGAATGGTATAAAATGACAATTAATAAATAAAGACGTCAGAATGGAACGTTTTTGAATTTCTCCTCTTTTAGTTTTGTGTTCTGTTCTGTTCTTTTAATAAGTTGTGTTCTACAAACAAAATCGATTTCAAATTTGGTGAAATCAGTTATTTTAATTTAAAAACTAAATCACTGAACCGATTTTGATAAAGTTTCCATTGGACTAATATGTAATTATATCCTTTCAGATTTAAAGAGAGAATTATCCAAATCGATTTATTACTAACGGTGTTATAAGGTAACAAACATCAAGAAAAATGCAAGTGAATTGAGACACCTTCTTTTTTGAAGGTTGTAAAGTTGTTACAACTCTTTTTTTAACTGATCGAATCGAATAATAGTCAACTGATGTCTCTGTTTACCCCATTACGTGATACTAGTACAATAATGATCATTTATATGTGTTTCATTAAATATTTCTAATGATATTATAGCGTGCAAAACATGCTTGGCAGTAAATGGCGCAATGAGGCCGCACTCGGCGACTACAGGGATGACAAGTGAGTACAAATATCAAACTTATTACAAACGTTTAAGATATATATTCCTTTGTTATGAATTGAAATGTCTTTGTACATAAATGTAGTTAAACTCTCCTTGCATTGCGATTGTTATATTTGCGTCTATTCGCATAAGCTCGGCTATTTTCGGTTATTGTCGGCTTTTTTAGTGTTTTATATAGAAAATTTGGAAGTTCTTTGTTTCGAAATTATCAGCTGTTATCTGTCCACTAATGAACATAGGCGTACATGGGGGACCTTATGGAGATTTTTGCCAATAGTTGCTTTACAGGCGGATTGGCTTTTGGTTATGTTTTAAGACGGCCGTTGCTGTCTATCTCTCTACCATTATGTTCCCTCAGTATCGTCTTACGACGGGACTGAGGGAAAGGTACTGGTGGCCGGAACCACACGGCAGTAATAGTGTATTCCGTTAGCGAAGTCATTCGTGATGCTTAGAATGGCAAACGAGCTGATGGTCCACATGATGGGAAGTGGTCACCGTTGCCTAGTCATAATTATAACAGGCAATATCGTCCTGTGAACGGCAATATGTGCTTTTTTAAATGGATGACAATGGAATGGTAACCCCGCCTGCGCTAACGGTGTACGCTGGCGGAGCACCAGTGAGGGTTGATAGGTGAGAATGAAAAAACAGGTCCGTTAGCCTATCGTGATGAATACACTCGGAATAGGACACGACAATTTCCCTGGAGGAAGCGTGACCTGATAGGGTGTATTGCTAACAATGGGGCTAGTAATCCCCATTTTTAACAATCCATTATGCCCCCGGACAAAATACGCTACCGCCCTTATACTGGAAACTGATTTGTACGACGAAATAATGTTTTTTTGGCGACGTGCTGAAGAAGGGTCAAATTAAAAGTACCCGTAACCGGCGAGCGTGTATGAAAAGATTGATGAATGTGGAGGAAGCGAAAGGGGTTTGTTTGAATCGAAGCATTTGGCGTTCCATTGTTTCTTCCTACCCTAATGGGAGACAGGCGTGACAGATATGTATGTATGTATGTAATAATGTTTGTTTTTTTTTTTAAATATTCGATTATGTGAAAGTCATTGCTTTGCATTAACTTATTTGGGGATTGGCTTGCTTTGTTGCTTATTTGCGAATGGTTAAAATATGTTTAATAATAAATAAATTTATCGATTTGGCGAACTGATAACGTACAGCGAATTGCTGGAACTATTTGTGTGATTATTTTGTTATTAAAAGAGTTTGTATTCAGAATGATCTTTTGCTAGTTTTATTGAAATTGAAGCGGATTTCGAATCAGTCGTTGTTGATATTTCATTTTTGTTAACAAAATATTTAATTCGATATTTATTTATTTTTTTATGACACTTAGAATGGCTAACAAGGTGACAATATTTTTTTCGAATCGAAACACAGTCTCTTAAGAAGAGTATTATTAAGGCAGAATTATGAATGGGACAGGGGTACCCATGCATACGACTTTTATATAATGTCTCCCTCTGAACTCTTTTAAAAATATTTATTTATTTACACTTTATTGTACTAAGTAAAAAGAGAAATAACAAATACAGTAAATATTAAAGAGAAGTGATACAAAAGGCAGCCTTATCGCTAAGCAATCTCTTCCAGGCAACCTTTGGGTAGAGGACATTGAGAAAAAGACAATACTATTAAATTATAAAGCATAGAAGTCATTGCGGTCATGCTTATTGAACATTTTATTCTTTTATTGTATACATATCTCTTTGAATTTTTTTTATGGGACATGACATGGTAAATATGCTGACGGTCCATCTGATGGAAAATGGCAACCCTTATTGGGCACGTTACACTTACTGTGGAGCCTATGGCACCCTACATGCGTGACCATTCCAATATTAAGATGTTATGCCTATGTACCCTGTAATTTTACTGCCATAGCCTGAAGGATAAGCCAGTTGAAGTTGCAATGGGCTGGTCATATAGCTCGGAGATACGACAACCGATGGGGAACTAATGTTCTTGAGTGGTGACCACGTACGGGCAAATACAGTGTAGGACAACACCCCACTACACGGAGTGACGACCTCAATAGCATTGTAGAAAGTCAGTGGATGCAGGTGGCTCAGGTCCATTCGTTACGACAGTCTATTGGGGAGGCCTATGTCCAGCAGTGGACCGATAACGGCTGAAATGATGACGATGATATTGATCTTGCTCTTCAAATCGAAACACAGCCAAGCAAACATAGCTTGACGATAAAAACACGAGTGGGACAGAGGTACCCATGCAAACGACTTTGTAATAAGTCTTCTGGTGTAATTAAAATATGTATTTTGTTAAAGGAAAAGCTCATATAAATTTCTTAATAATGCGATTTTCTAATTTTGTCTGTATGCAGTGTCTATACGCGAATTTAATTGTTCCAGTATGCATAAGCGTAATTTGCGAATTTTTAACATAATATTCATAAAAATTATGCTGGTTAGATTATATAATTGGAAATGATATATATATATATATATATATATATATATATATATATATATATATATATATATATATATATATATATATACCATGTAGTTAGCAAATAAGCAAACAGCCCCTCTCTTGACATTGACGTCTGCAATATATATTACTTTTATTGTACGTAAAATAACTGATAGAGCATTCGGTCAAAGAATATGTTGAAAAGGCGAGTTTTAATTTTTTTTATACAACTTAGAATGGCAAACAAGCTGACGGCCCACCTGATGGAAAGTGGTAACCGTCGCCTATAGACATGAGCAGTACCATGGACATAACAGAGTGTACTGTTTGTTTTTTTGTTTGTTGTTTTAATTGTTTATTTTTTTTTTGTTATTTAATTTGTTAAAATCTCTAATATTTTAATAATAATGATAAGTCGTCATCATCACAGCAATCTGTTAACATCTTACTGTTGCGTAGACGCCATATTTCTTAAAAGGTAGCAATGACCTAGTACCATGCTGATTGTATCATTTAAAAATCGTAAATTTAAAAATAGTAAATAATATTTGGTAACTAGTAACTATATGCCTTCTATGATTCTATTTTGTCTATGGTATGAATTAATATATTCTCTATGGATCTTGTTTTTGTTACCGTAACTATTTTAAAGATTTATGAAATATTATTAAATACGATTCTTTATTACATTCCAGCTTCCAATCACCGGCTCAAGATTCGAAGTCTCCAGATAAGTATCAAGCAGCCACCGAGAAGTACCAAGCCACCCCCGAGAAGTTCTCGGCCACACCGGAGAAGTATCAGACGGAGCCAGCCACCCCTAAGCCGGAGACGGAAGCAGTATGATGGGGGCACAGCTCCAGCCGAGAGTACGTCGACCCGTATCAGCTGTTCTACTCATTCACACAGCAGTGCTTCTGGAACAAGTATGTGTTTAATCCCAGTTACTCCCCCAACACGAAGTACCCCGTCCACCCGTCGCCTCTGCTGCCATCAAATGCCACGTGGAGGAAATAGGACTATTTCTGACCCTTTTCGATCTGTTTCTCAAATACTGTTTGTTATATCCAAATGATTGGTCACAATTTTAATATTACTGTTGCCATGTTGTTATTTGAGTATAACTCGCTGTTGCCATGACCATTTTTATTAAATTACTTTTTATGGCTATTAAAAAAAATATGCTATAAAAGGTAATCTTCACGTTATCTCAACTTTTCTCCTCTCATATCTTTGTCACTGTCTAATTATCGCGATTTATTTAAGATTATATGGCAACACTGTATGTACTTATCCAAGGGGGTCAGGAATGTTTAATACAGTCAATAAATTTATTATCACAGAACATAGATAGGATATATAGTAAATTATAATTCGAATATGTAAAATTAAATTCTGCATACAAATATGTAAATTATGATAACGAAGAAAAATTAAACTGTTATAATGTGACAGCCTTTTAAACGCCATGCTTTGTCTACACGGACACCATGGATACTTGTAACGCCAAATATTTTTTTTTTTCTATGGAAGATAATTGTATATATAAAGATTTGTCTCCGTCACTGAGAAGAAGTGGATATTTTTTTTTTGTTTAATTTATTTATTTTATTGCGAGTACTCACTGTGACTATTTGCTTGTTTATTACTAACGTGTTACACGTGTAAAGCCGCAGTTAAAAAACTCGAGGTATTTTTCAGGTACAGGATTTTTTTTCGTTGATTCTCTTGTAATCTTGTATCGTGAATGATGTTAATAAAATGGTCACGACCATTCTAAATGGGGACGATATGCGATCGCCCCTTAAACACATGGCGTTTAACAGGTTGTTGCAGGAAAGTTGCACTGTTGTGTTGATTATATACATTCCACCACATAAATTCCAAAGACTGAAGCATAAAATAGACGTGTATATGCGTATTCGTTCGCAAAACGACTTAAGGTGATGTTTCGACACGTGCGATTTGCGATAAAAATGTTTCTAATTTTATTATACACGTAAAACAGTGTTATATTATGAAGCCTGGCTTTATAACACGTATAGAATACGCTATATTTTCATTCAATGTAATATAATCCAATGCTCGAACCAAATAACTTTGTGACTTTGCCGTGAAGTATTAAATAAGGGATATTGAAGTGTTTATGGCATCAGCGTTGTCTTACAATTGATTTATGAATCGATTTCACGAGCGTAACATGTAGAAATCGTTGTAATAAAACAATAAATAATATTTCGGTTGCTGTGTTCAGTAATCGATTATGTATATTTATTATGCAATAAGTACTTCATTATTTCGAGAAAAAAAAAACGTTGAGTTATCGCAAGTCGCTATTATCGAAAACTCACCTTAACATACAGGGTGTGTTTATGAAAATCGTACTTAGAGTAAAAAAAAAAGCAAATAAGAGAAAAGCTAGAATTGTTTATATACATCGAAGTGGACGATTTTGGTTCACGATTCCGCGTTGAATTTATTTTTTGATACTTTATAACGTTTTTTCTTTAAGGTATTTTTGTAGACATAAATTTAACAAAACGACTGAACGTGTTTGAAACAATTACTGAGAATTGTGACGGTGTGACCTGAATGATTACAGTGAAAGTGCCACGTATCACTTGTTTGTTGTCACGTGGATAAGCCATTTGGCCGACGGTCTACCTAAAAGGAGATCGGACCTTTTATTTTTGTACAATTTAAATATAGATTAAATTCGAATTTACGTATTAGTATTCGTAGAAGTGAACATAGTTGCATTTTTTTATATATATATATATTGTTCAAATTTGTATTGCGGTAGCTGCCATAGTTGTTGTAGAGTTAAATTTCAGCACACCCTGTATTCCAATATTCCCGTGCCGCCTCAATTAGACTTAAATAAGAATCTGGTCACATTCCGTGGCGAATGAAAAAAAAAATATATATATATGAACAGAATCAGTACAATATGAATCTAGGCAGCTAGAAGGAGCTAGAAGTAAGTAACGTTGCCATTCAACAGATATGTACAAAGCAAAGATCCCTCCCCTCCCCTCCCTAAACATTTTGATTATGCTTAATCAAAATAAACGGTGCCACGCCACCCCAAAAAGCATAACCTTACAGTACAAATAATTGTATATTTTCATCTACGTATGCTTTACTTAGTTTTAGTTTATATTTAAGTATATTGGATATAAAGACGGAATAATTTACACGTACAAGTTAGTCCGTTAACGAAGTATATATATTTTTATGGCTCGTTCACAAGTCGTTGATACTGGCCGCTAGCGTAGATAGAAGACTGTTCACATTATGGCCGTCCGCTGCGAACATTTTCTCGTGTGGCAACACTGTAAACTTTAGACGCATTCCAAATATGATAATTTGAATTACCCGATACACAACATTGAAGCATGTCAGGGTTTGTTAATTTTTTTTTTCATGTAACGTGTATTAGGTGTATTTATATACAGCTTTATGTAACCAAAACGATTAATTTTTATTTTTATGAAATAAATAACAATTAGATATTTTGAAAGGCCCGTCTTTCACATAAGACGTTAGGCAGTGTATCAACAACTCGTGCGGCGAGCCCCAAATCTATTATACAAGGGTTGTTTAGGTATATTAAGTAAATTTATACCTCAATTATTAAAATGACTGTTTATGTAAGATATCGTCCCTTTTGGTTCACCTTTTTTGAAATTATTTTATTGATAGTTTGTCATAATATTTTCTCTTCTAAGTGTTAAATTAAAGCTACAAAAACTAAGGTAAAAATAATGACCAGTATGCGGCCGCCGCGCGGCGTGTAACATGAGACCTAGTTGTCTTATTGCGTGTAAACAAAACTTAATATATAATGTAGAGGTGAGCGGCCGTTTCTGGTGCGGTTGAAGCGTTTGAAAGCTTTAATAAAAACTGTCCCATCGCTGCAAAGTCGGAACGTATTTAGTCATTAGCTCTCTTAATAACTTGGTGAACCTACGGACATTATTTCTTCGATCCGCATATATATATGTATATATATATATTTTGGTGCGATGTAATTATAAGATTTATATATGTAAATTTTGTATTGACGCGTTCCGTTTCGCGCACGCGAAACGTCATTAGTCGGACTTTTAATCACGTGCAGTACATTGATATTGCAATGTTGCCAGTTAGGAAAAATAGTGTTGTGCAATAGTGATCATTTAAACGACTCAAAGTCAAAGGTCGGTCTACAGCGAATATTAGAAATAAAAGGCGTACGCGAATACTGCGCAGCCTTTGACGGAATTATTATTATTTATTTAAATAAACCACTAAATATCACAATTATTTTTTGACCAGTTGTTAAAAACAACGGATTGATCACAAAGTGAAAGGTTTTTTTTTTCTTCGAACTACTGTTCAGGACTGGGGAAGTATTTTTGCGGATGTCAGTGTACCGCGTTGGAAGTCCGGCCGTAGTGTGTGTATATTTTGTACCGCAAGTGTTCACCGCATGGCGAGGTGACGTGTATGAGAATTATAAGCGAATACGTCCATAATCGATGTATTTTATGATGGTTTGGGTAATTTAACAATAATATTAAGGGGGTATATAAACTAACATATCTTACGAAAAGTTAGATTTATTATTATTTTTCTACATTCCAATAGTTGTAAGTATGCATAATCAACCGTTTTATATATAAATATAATTAGCTATAAGTTTCTAATGTCTTTATAAGATTACAAGGAGATTATAATGACGTTCGCGTAAGTGGAATCCCATATTTCAGTAGCTGTATAGGTTTTTTTTTTGTAGCATTTACAATATGTTTATTACCAAATTTTTTTTATACCAATGTTCTTACATTAGTGTACGTAATGAAAGGTGCAGCTAGGAGTACCGTTACGTAACCGGAGCGCTATTTACGCTCGAACCGCTTGTAGAGCTCGGCAAGCGAGTAATGCACAAGCGTTCTCATACTCTCTCTCTGTCTCTATATATATATATATATGTATATATGTATGTATATATGTATATATATATATATATATATATATATATATATATATATATATATATATATATATATATATATATAGTTGTTCGGTCTAAATACTCAACATTTGTGGCCAAATAGAATATATGTCATGTCTCTAGCGTTTATTGTATTACTTGCTAGGCTCGTGGCTATAGTTTTTTTATCTTGGGTCGACGGCGCGCGTCTCCATGTCCCAATCGCAGGTTGGCCTAGTGTTGTTTGTTGTTCTAGAATGTAAACCGTGGTATATAGTATAAGTGTTGCCCACAGTGGGATTCGTGCGCCGGTCCACTTGCACGGTGGATACATACTGTGTACAATTTATACGTGTCTTATGATTACAAATGATACATTCCATTCTATTAAGACATTCCATGTTTCGAACAAAAAGTATTTCTTAGAGAATTGTGCTCAAATTTATTTTTTTCTTTATATTTATTAAGTATATACAACCATGACATTGTTAGGTATTAATGTTGTAATGTTAGTTTATAAGTATGTATTGTATAGAGGGCCTTTTTTTTTTTTCTATTTTTGCGACTTGACGAACGTTGTCTCGGCAATGTAAACAGGTGCGTCTAGGTGAACGGTATTCGTGTGTATTAAGGTGTCGTTGCACGCATTACTTGAGTATATCAAACGTTGCATGGATACTTCGTTTGTATAAAACTCATAGCCCTGAGCATTTTACAGTTTATTGTATTTATATAAAATTTTACCCAATGTTCTCCCAGTAAAATACAATCGAATTGTATTCATCTATATATTTTTTTTTTAATTTGGCAATCATTCTCCAGTTTTTTTTTTAATTTATTTTACAATATAGCTTAAAGCATTTTTTTTTTGTTATATTTATTTTCGAATATACTCAGTCAGGGAGTTTTATACAAGTGAATTTTAAATGAGCGTAATTTTGTCTTAATAGTTTTTATATCAGGACTTTTGTATACATATTTACAATTTTTTTTTCTATTGTAATTTATTCTCTTTTTTGTATGGTATTTTTTTTTGTTAGTTTTTTTTTTTTTCAAATCATCCGTTTGCATACGAGGTATTTAAGTTTGTTCTGCATAATATATTTTTTAAATAGCCCCTCTGAGGATCGTCGGCATATTTGTCCCCGGATGATGTTGATTGTCATCTAACGTACAATATATATATTTTTTTTCTTATTAATTATCCACAATAACCATTATATAGTATATAACGAATCATAATAATATACATGTTTAATATAATGTAATTTATCTCTGTCTAAGAGGAATAGTGGTCCGTCCACTAGGTTTTAATGATGACACGACCGCCAGAGGGCGTCACTTTAGTTTGTAGTAAAAATTATGGGGTTAGTTTTGGTTTAATTTTTAATGTAATAAAGATAAGATTGAAAAGGAGATCAGTGGATCCCTTTGTGGAGATCGAGACGGTCGTAGTATATCACCAGTTGCTAGTATTTATGGACTGTTCTATCTCTGTGCTCGCTCGGGTCCGTGTGGTCGCAGGTGGAAGTTGTTATAAATTAATAAAAAAAAAAATGTACAAATCACAGGATCATATTTATTTCCACAGTTAATTAAACGGAACAGATAATATTGGACAATAATCCATGATTAATACAAAAACTTTTTCATAGGAAGCTATTTCTCTATTTTATTTCGTCATATTTCAAGTTTCCTCTTATTTCGGTCTTCGTGGTGTAGTTGTTTAACACACCGCTTCATATTACGTTGGTAGCGAGTTCAATCCCTCGACAATATAAACATTCATATCCATACAAATATATATTTGTGTTTAGGTAATTAGCTTTGGATATTTTATATAATTAATTAGTATATATTTACAAAAAAAAAATAAAGTATTTAAACACGTCTACTAGTTGTAAAAATAGTATAAATTCACTTTGTTTGCAACTAGATGGCGTTGTTATTACCCAGTCCATATGCCCAGTGGTATTTATTTATTTTGCTAATGTAATGTGCTTTGAACCCTGTTTATTACTTGTCACAGCCTAGAATTGAAAAGAAGTGTTAGTATGATAAAGGATCAATATGTTTTAATGGATTAGGTATTGTTTATTTATTTATTTATAGCAACACCAACAGCATATTGTATTATAACACATATAAGAAACATTAAATATGCATATGCCTATTAGAAGTATTCACAGCATTTACTCTAACATAATTATACAGTATGAAAGGAAATTAAATATATAAAGCAATTAACTAAATATTAGATTACAAATATTTTAAATATTTCATTATTTTTTATGGAAATATGTATATAATATAACCGGAGTTGTGACTAATATCAGTAAATGAATTAAATTGACAAGTATTATTAATATATATTTATTATTATAATTAAAGTTTATTATTATTATTATTATTAGATTATTCTACAAAATGTTTTAACAATTTATTCCTGTAGGAAGACAGACTATCACGTGTCAGGTAATTTAGTATTAATATCATTGTATAAAGTACGAATCCATTTCGTTGTATATTGTTTTACGCAGGTCTATACCACTGGTTAGTCGATTGAAATTGATTTTGTTTAAATGCGTAGACTGAATGACAGCGTTTGGTGATTAATAGAGGGGGTCGTAGTCTCTTCTAATGGTATAATGTTGGCAGTCCTACGCACAGTTATGGTAGATTAGAAGCTACTGTCACGTTGACCAAACGGTTTATTGCCTTGGTAAGTTTATTAGAATTATTCGGTTTAATACCGCTAACATTACTGCTCATACGACCGCCATCATTATACCATTAGAAGAGACGATACGACACTCTCTATTAGTCATTAAAGGCTGAACAGTCTACGAATTAAAAAAAAAAATCAATCAACAAACCAGTGATATGGACTACCGTAAAACAATATACAATGAAATGGATTCGTACTTTACTAAATATACAATTGGGACTTAATGCGACGTAAAACCTTTGCAGGTGTACTATTGTACCTACAGTTTCTTTATTGCCGACGTTTCGACGTCGATTGCATTACGTCGTGCTCGTCCTGGTCACGTGGTCAGGACGTGGTGGTGTCCATCTTGGTGCCTTTTCATTGCGTAAAGTTCCGATTGTGTATTTAAAATATGTGCAAACAATGCGAAAGTTTAAAATTAATAACAAATTCAGTAAAATATTTATCATTCTACCATTTCTTTTCAACTATAAGGTGTGGTAAGATGTATCTTGTGGTTAAAAGGCACAGCATTGGTGTATTGTTGATAGGGAGTTATCATCACATTCAGTGTATTTCTAAAGTAAGTCTATCAGCGTCGTGTTGGTTCAGGATTGTTAAGAGTCAGGTTCAGAGAAACGGGGATCACCGTTAAAGTCTATGTATGTATGGTATAATATTGCCGTGTAATTAACGACTTGTGTAAACTCTGATGTATTGTTACAAAATATTATAGTTAACTGAGTATTATATGAAACTAGTGACATTTATTGAACTTATCTAAGACTGTATCGTATATATATATATAATTAATGTCTAAAAATACCGGTAAAATCCTTAGCCCGTGTCTAAATTAGTTAAGTAAAAAATAGCTAAAAGCAAACACGCCAATCAATCATTATACATTACAATAGGAATTCGATTCTTTATTGAAAATATAAGACATCCGGTATAAGGTTACGAGCTGTGAAGTTAATTTACATATTTTTTTTTTCAGAGACGTTTAATACAAAATAATTTTCGTGACGTAACAATTTGACAAGTATGCAATCGTAAATCGATTTAATCGGTTTGACGTAATCCATCCGCCGCAATGTTTTAAAATAGGATATTTCAATTGAAATTTAATATAATTTATATTTTCTCTATTAATTCGGAATATTGTTTATAACTATTAATCACTCTTTACCAACGTGTAGTGTAGACAACCTATAGGTTTCTATGCTTGCCACATTTGGTAAAAACGAACAGTGTATAAATACTTAAATAAATAAATGTTTTTACAATAATTTGACATTAAATATTATATGATTTAATTATTACATTCTTATTTAATTTATTATTCAATGACTAAATTCCATATACACAATAAGATTGTTGACCACTAGCGCTAGGAGTACACAGAACGTATATGAAATAATGAATAATATACTCAAGTGAACTCAATAAATGCTTTAATTTTATGTTGTAATTAGATGTGCCGTCAAGTCGTCGGATCTGTCTTTTCTATTAAATCATCATCATCATCATTAAGATGTATACATACATTATACACATATATATATATATATATATATTTCCCAGAATGATACGTTCCGTTTTCACAACTAGTTCACGTGACGACAGTTACCAAAAAAGTGTTGCGAAAATGGATTCGATAGAGATTTTTCAGTGCTATCTTAAATATAAATATGTATGTATTAACGTTGACTGTCTCCCTTTAGTATTTATATATTAATTAATATAAAATTGAAATGCGATGAAAAAGACTTAGATAGTTTTTTTTTATACGTTCGTCTCCGACTCTTGTCGGAGCTCTATCGTCGAATTTATATTTAGAACGTTTTTTTTTTATAAGAAAATGTGTAATGTTGACAATAGATTGTCATATTGGCCAGTATTCTAAATAAGGGTCGAGAACAGAACTGGGATATTTGCAATTCGTACATGCAACAAATTCGTACAATTGAAATGTAAATTTGAAAAATAAAAACTGATTTACTGAGAAGTAACTTTAATAGACAATTTATTTAGGATGGGAATACTTAACATAGGTTCTCCATTCTTAAATAGTATCCGAGATAACTTATATATAGAAGATAAAAAAATCAAAGGTAGTCTGAAGGAGATTGCTTAGCAATAAGTCTTGTCTCTTGTAATATACTATACTTATTGAAAATCCTTCAACAATTCAAGTAACATTTATAATAATAATAATAATACTTTATTATGCAGACTACAATGCGGTCCAATTTTGTTAGTAACAATTTTCTTACAAACTATGTTAGATTTATGCAGTAAAGTGTTAAATAAATAAAGGGAATCCAAGTACGAATGATTAAATAATAAATATAAACAAAATAAACCCTGTTCTCGACCTTAACCTTAACTTGCAGTGATAGTAATACGTCCCAATGAGATGGAATCTCAACAACATAAGGCTGCTATATTAATGTGTAATATTTAACCAACGAGCGTTATCTGTAGCCGGAATTAGTAAATGTAATAATTGTTAGGTACCGTTAGTCGCAAGAAGTTTAAAATTAAATGGAGACAGCGCAGTATGACATTAAAATTGGCGCCAATAACATTTGACATTGACATTGGAAAACGTCAAACTTCTCTGTCTTAGCAATACTGTTGAGTGTAAACAAGATAGAGGATAATTAGCCTTTATTTGGCACTTCTTTCTATTAAACTGTTGAACAACGGTACAGTATGTTTAGCTTGGTTACAGATATAATAGTGTGTAAGCATTTAAATTTTTTGGCAGTAATTTTATGTTCACTGTAACATCTCTATTTGATGATAAACTTGAGCGATGTGTAAAAATGTTGCTTGTAAAGGGTCTAGGAAACAATGGGGCCGATTCTGAAGAGCTATTTCTCTAAACATAGTAATTAAAAATTAATATTTATGACTTTATTAGAAATTTATTTTGACACCGGTCCTTACAATAACGATTTCACTTTAAGATCAAATTGATTTTTTAGAGTTTGGTAAAAAAAAATGGTTTCATAAAATCTACTCTAATGTAATTGCTTCTAAGGCGCCATTCTCTGAATATTTCTCAAAAATTTATTTAAAAATTTAGTGGAACTATTAGATTAAAAAAGAAAAAAAGCATCGAAAGGTAAATTTCAAATAGTTTAACTCTATTATAAATTAATCCTCTTATTTGTAAAAATAAACTAAAAGCTCCCACAAATCTATTTTTATTAATGGTACTTTGTCATTTTCTATCAATTTGAGAATCTTGCGCTTAAAAGATGAATACAATTCTTTAAATTAAAAAGGCTTATGTCTGCATAAGAGGTTTAGTTTTTGTTGCTCAATGAAATAATTATTTGTCAATAATATTAATTTTAGTTGTAGAGAGAGAGAGAAAGAGAGAGAGAGAGAGAAAGAGAGAGAGAGAAAGAGAGAGAGATAGACATAGAGAGAGATAGAGTCAGAGAGAAAGAGAGAGAAAGAGAGATAGAGAGAGAGATAGAGATAGAGAGAGATAGAGTCAGAGAGAGAGAGAGAGAAAGAGAGATAGAGAGAGAGAGATAGAGAGAGAGAGATAGAGAGAGAAAGAGAGAGATAGAGAAAGAGAGAGATAGAGAGAGATAGTCAGAGAGAGAGAAAGAGAGATAGAGAGAGATAGAGAGAGATAGAGAGAGATAGAGAAAGAGAGAGATAGAGAGAGAGAGAGATAGCTTCGGAATCGACCCCAATGTGATAGCGATGAGAGTTGCGTGAAGAACACCTTTTTTTCCTGGATATTACATATTTTCGTAATGATATAATTATAAAAATACGTTTTATTTTTATAAATAATATTTTTGACACGACCTCTACGGATGGTAGAAAAATTATAGAAGATTGCTCTTATTTATAAAAAAAATTAAACGTCTTATAAACCTATTTTGTCTGTTTCTTTTATGTTAAATTTCCAATTTGAAAGAATGTGACAAAACAATAGAATAGCTAAAATAGGTTTGTAGATTTTAGTTTTTTTTTTTAATAACAGGGTTAAAGTCGTGAAACGAAAATTAAATCGATTTGGTTTAAACTTGATAGGCTTCAAGCCTATTTACCATATCCATGTGCGTACTCGTATACTACAAGTAAAAATGGATTAGAATTATCACAGAATAACCTATAAATAAATAGCGAAGTATTGTACAAAATATGACAGCCATAATATTTTCATTGAACTTCATACATAATATTTAGTTTGACCATAAGAATAAATAAACGAGGTAAGAGTTATTCATGTACTTTTCTTTGTAAATACCATAGTAGTGCCAAATATAATTTTCGTCCCTTCCAAAATTGTAAGGGTTATAAATTAATTCTCATTTAACTAATTAATTTTACAATTTTTGATGTTTACGCTACACACGTGCGTGTGAGTGAGATACACGCTCTCAATGTAGTCTCTACTCCTTGCAGGCCCTGACTGGTTTAGCTCTTAAACAGAAGGGGGCCATCAGCGTCCCAATACAGTTATTGTTATTTATTTCAATGGAGTGTAAATTTTACCTGATGATTTATTCTTATGGTTTCATGTGATAAAATACTCTTAACATGTCGTAGTTTGCGCATACTTTTACATGTATTTGTATTTACATTCATACAGTTCTTTAAGCCAGTTTCATCGTTTGTAGCTTTTTGTATTGTATGAACATACCGTAGTCGATGCTAGGGGTTGGAACATGTAAATTCAACTAGAATCAAATGTTACTTAATTAGTACCTAAATATTTAATATTGCAGTTCTAAAAATTCCAAATTTGAATTTTAAAAAATAAACAAATGAAACCCGCACTTTGTAGCGTCTAATACACTTTGTGAGTCTCCAAACCGTTCGTCCAAATACGATCAATAGATTATCAATCTTATACAATGATATTACAGTTGATTTTTCAGAATAAATATTGTGTGAGTATTTTTATTTGAAATATTTCCAAACCATACGAGTGGTAGTTAGATAGTCAATTAGCCCCTTATTTATATTTATATCCAACGTCTCGTAAACCTATATGAGCCAATGGGCTATTAAAGTGTCAAAATTTTTCGAATCATCAACTTTTACAAAATACTCAAATTTTTTATTACACGTAATGTAACAAATTTTTGAAAGTATTCTATACTATACTTGTGGAAGAAACTGCTCAGAAATAATATTGATTATTGGTTAAAATCAACGTGAATAATCATAAAAATAAATAAGTTGGGCAGAAGCGACACTCATATAATTTTGCCTCCAAAATGTATTGACTTCAGAACCCGCTTATAAATATATCTTTCTTTCTTAGGGAAGATTGCCATTTAATATTTTTTCTATATGAAGCAACTCGCGACACGCGTGCGAGTGGGACGTACGATGTTGCTGTTACAGCTTTAATCACAGCAAGGTCTGCGGCTGCTAATGGATTTATACTGGATCCATTGCTCCTCCATCCAAAGGCTGCCTGTAAGGGATCGCTTCCAGTCTTAAGGCCCTTTCGTTTTCCCATTACGATTGTTTCTTGTAATTGTTTACTACTGTAATCTTTTGGAGGAAACTAGGAAGGCTTCTGTCTGATTATTTATTTTTATGCCATAACTAAAGGTGCTCGAGCAGCCATAATCCTGGCTTATAGACCAAGTGTACCATACGGATCGATATATTATTTTATATACTCATTTCTGTATAGTTGAGTTTTTAAACGGTCTTCGGTGTGCGTGACGGCCTGTAGTGCTTCTCTCTCGTCTGTTTATTGATAGACAGAGACGTATATATCAGTGTCCGTCCACCGCACCGCCCGTTAATTTGGATTTTGATTAAATAGGAGATTAATAAGTTTGTGAACGTAATCACTGCAATTTTCGAGTGTCTAATTTAGTTTTTTTTTTTGGTGTAATTTTGGAAATACGCATTTCTTTTTTTTTATTTACAACGAATTATCGGTTACCCTATTGCATATTTATTTATGTAAACTCTATAATGCTCTCTACATTGTGATCATACAGTGGTATGTTATATTTAAGACATATTATTTATACGTACGAAGTGTACTCTTTAAGTTTTAAATAGTGATCTAGTTTGCCTGTGTAATGTAATGTTCAATTTAGATGTCAAATTATGTAAATTTTCTAAGAACAGTGTTGAAATGTAAAAATAATTAAAAGTGTTTGTCATACGGTCAGCATGAAAAGTCGATGTTACACATTATAGTTTTCAAAACACAGTTGATTACTTATTTAAGTGCATATATTCAGCTAATATTTTTTTTTACAATGCCCATGTAATTTTGGTGCTAATCCTGTTTAGCGAATTGCATATTCAATGGATTTAGAAGGGATTTTAGAAATAAGAGTACATTTATTTTTCGTGTTGACTGTACCTGCTTTAATGTATAGGGAGTCATTGTTGCAACTGTCACGATAAGAATTGATTCAAATACAAGCGTCATTACGAACGATACAATGGTAAAGCATAAAAACATGGGTCGATTCTGAGGTGTCATTCTTTTAAACGTATCTCTAAAATTAATATTTCTATTTGATATAACAGCGACATCTGTTTTCTAAGGACCGGTATGAACTAAATTTTTAATAGACTTAACTTTATTGTAAATTTATTTTAAAATTGTCCATAAAACAGAAGTTTCGCGAAACTAGCACCTTGAAATATTAGATTATGGGGATACGTTTAGGTAAATGGCGTCTGAGTAGCGACCCCCTTGTGCAGGCAAGACCGATATCTTAAAGGAAAATGTATTTATATTAACACGTTAATAAAATATCAAAATGGCCGTTCATTTTGTATGAAGCTTGTCAACGATGATGTTATTTGTCCTTTTGACCTCTCCAATTGGATTTATCCGAACCTATGTTTGTTTGCCTCTATTTATTCAGCTTTCTACTACATACATATTACATATAATATACAAAACTTTACGAAATTTTAATATCATAGTTATATAGTCAGAGATTTTTAAAAACAATGTGCACTATAGTTTTTTTTTTAAATTTGTTTAGTGAAAATGTTAAAAGGTCAAACACAACAAAAACAGGTTAATGCTACCTGTTTGGAAATACTTACCGCTTTGTCACTTCTGTCCTGTTTATATGGGGGATAGGTTTTGCACATAGTGTGAAACCACAAAACACAAGAGGATCGAGGTACACTTACAGCGCTAGTGTTTCCGAACTGGCCCTCTGGACAAATGGCGAGCGAATTCGTCGATGGAATCGACGTCGCTAGCGACTCCGTGAGTTGGAATGAGACGTCCGACATTGCTGTCTTATTCTATCCCGCGGACTCGCTAGCGATGTTGATTCCATCGATGAATTCGCTTGTCCCTTGTCTAGAGGGCTTGGACGGTAAATTAAGTGATAGAATTAGTAAAATTTATAATCATAGGCGTATTTAGACGGATGGGAGGGCGGTTGGGTTATGCCCACTCTGGAATTGTCTAATGCCCACCACAAGGTGCAGACAAAGCTTTGTTAAGACTTGTCTGAGAGTATATACGCGCTTTTTTTTAAGGGGCCACGCCTACCGTGGGATATCTTAATACGCCTATGTTTATAAGGTCAGTATATTTTTAAATTAAGGGCCTCAACATATGATTTCACAGTTACACATATTGTCTGTCGCTGTACACCTCTTTACATTATAACAGGGCAAACTGTCACGTCTCGAATGTTCGAATTGTTATAAAAAACATTCGTACTGTACTGATTTCCACTTTTTTCTAACTTCAATCTCTCGATTGTACTCATTGTATTTCTCTTTATATATATTTTTTTTATATTAGCTTTACATGAAATAAATTATAATTTTGTACGTCTTGTTTTATTGATAATCCCCAATTTCCACATATTATTAATAATTGTGATACATCTATGTGTGCTGCGGTAGAACGTCTCTGACTACCCTGTCTGGGATTACAGTCGTAAAGATTTTTCATAATCATGCATATGGGCTGCCAGGGTGTTGCTCGTTTTTTTAATTATATTGTGACATCTTGTGACTTAGTTCCGCCATAACTTGCCAAATTCGAACGCTGAAATTGGTGAACCAGATATCCTTATAAGAGTATTTTGTTATGCAACTTGTAATGCTTAATAAGCTGACGGCCCGCCTCATGGAAACTGTCGTATATACACGTGAACGGTGAGAGATAGTTTTGTATCTAAAAAATAGTATTAATTATATATATTTTTTTTTTATTTAATGGGGATTTAAAGTATTTATTTAATTAAAAACATTTCATTCGGTAGTTTAACCTTAGACATAGAAATAACCTTAAGTCTAACGTACTAAGGGTTTATTTCTGTTGTAACTTTATTACTCCCATCTGATATTGAGGATTTTTTTTAATCAATAGTCTATTTGGTTTCGTTCGTGTTTGAAGTCTATTTTTAATAGTGAAATGTAGTCTACCTACTTAAAATGCGGAATGTGAAGCTCTAGACCCAAAACTTTATAGATAGAGGGCATTAGCACTGATCCATATACTTGGTGTGAAATACATAATTATATGAATATTAAAAAAGAAGTTGTTTTTTTTTAATTAAATATTAATTTTAGCTATGAAGAACGGGAAAGAGACTCGGCTTTTGCCTTTTTTAATATTTTTTTTTACAACACAGAGGGCAAATGAGCATGCGGCTCACCTGGTGGTAAGTGACTACCGCCGGCCATGATCATCCACAACACTAACGGCATTGCAGGTGTGCTGCCGGCCTTTTAAAAAGGAATATATCTACTCTTTTCTTGAAGGTTATGTTGTCGTATCGGTTCGGAAATACTGCTGCTGGAAGTTAATTCCAAAGAATGGTTGTGCGTGGAAGAAAGTGCCTTGAAAAACGCACGGTGGAAGACCGCCACTCGTCCAGATGATTGGGATGAAACTTTAGTATAATATGTTTAGTTTAATATGTTGAATTATGTAAGAGACGACCTCAAGTGCATTGCAAGCAGTCAGTGGATGCAGGTGGCTCAGGACTGTTCCTTATGGCAGTCTATGGGGGAGGCCTATGTCCAGCAGTGGACGGATAATGGCTGAGGCGATGATGATGATGATATAAATGATGAGTTCACTCTTTATTTTACAAACTACCGAGCAGTATCAGGCCATAACATTTAAAATTAATATTGAACGTTAATTATCCATTGTTGAATATAGACCTCCGTCTATTGGGACTTTTGCCAGTAGTTGCCACGATTGGCTAGCAGAATGGCAACCGCAGTTAGGTTTTGGTGATATTTTAAAAGGGAGGTTGCTGTCCATTTCTGGATCTCTTAGTTGCCCCCTACGACGCCTACGGGAAAAGAAGGGGTGGTCTATTCTATGCCCGGACCAAACGGTAAACAAAATTATACATTAAATTATTTTTTAGCCGTGTGGTCTCGGCATAGAATAGGTTATCCATTCCTTTCCCGTGGTTGTCGTAAGAGTCGATTAAGAGAGGGCGAGGGATGTGTAGCAGTGTCCTTCTTAAATGTCTAAAGCCTTACTGTGGTTATCAATCCGCCTGCCAAACGTGGCAACTACTAGCAAAACCCCCAAGGGGCAGGCTTATTTTCAGCAGTGGACAATTAAAGGCTGATATGATGATGATGATGATGAAATAAATTTTAAGATATTAGCATATATTTATATGCTTATATCAATTAATAAAGTAAATTAGTTGCAGTAACCAGAGCAGACTAGTTCAAAGCAGCATTGTTTCACGAGTATGACAAATGAGTCGGCCATCTTTGCGCTAAACCATATTCTTGGGAAACTCAATAACTCAGCTCACCACGATCACCAACGTGGTGGGCTGAGTAAGATGTTAGTGAGCATGACTTACTCAGGGCACCCAACCTAGTCATAGCTATGTTGAAATAATTTTTAAACAGAAAAGAGGCATAATAATAATTGATATTAAAACTGCTAATTTAAAATGGACAATTATATTTTTAATTTTTGCTTGTTTGCACATAACGTTCAAGCAAGACAAATTATTTTATCAAATTTATCTAAAATCTCATCCAATACATGCCAGCCCTGATCCTGGTGTAATCCGGAAGGCCCTCTGTGGGGCCTACAGCTGCCACAGCCGGGCACTTATCGTAAAGATATTTCAAACATACTTCCTTCACATCCTTTGAGTATATACTGTCGATAGAACACATCCTATCCAGCATAGTAGGCCGCTCACCATTGTACAATATCCATCTACCTATGTCATGACAAGCTCCCTTACAACTCTCCGTTTTAGAGAGAATTTTGGCTTTCAACTGTCTTCTCCCTCTTTCTACTTCTCCATCAGACACCATAGTGCACAGCTTCATCCATTCATCCTGTATAATGTACAACATATCCTCTAATCTCGACGAAGGAGCCATAAATTTTACTCCCCAAAGACCCGTGTCTTTATAATTAATATTGAGAGCCTTGTATGAATCACACGAGTTTGTTATAGAAGCAGCCCTGGCCACATTCATGGAGTGATCTACTCCGCCAGGTTGCGATCTGTCCCAACCACCGACTATCGTTGCTGCAATATCCATGACCAACTTGTCTGGGTGGCAGAATGAAGGCCCTTCCACTGCTATAGCTACATTAGCAACAGGAAGAGAATCGTCTCTGAAACGTATTTCTGAGCCAGTATATCTGTATTCACTGGAATTAAGACATTTCGTGGGCTCGAAATTGCACAAATATTGATTAGCCAATTCGACCATTTGGTCATGTCTGAGTCCGCCGACAGCGGCGAACACAGTCCTAGTGGGGTCAAATTGTCTGGTTAAATATCTACGAATAGTGCATTCATTAAAACTGTATAGATTACTACTCAACCCCATAACAGTTTGCGCGAGTTGTGTACCCTGGAATGCTGTATTATGTAAATAATCATCCAAAAGTTTATGAGGATCTTTATCATGCTCCATCATTTCACAGTACACAATTTTCTTCTGGACTTCCAAATCGGCAGGTGCGTAGCGGTTATTGAAGATACAATCGGATAATATGTCAACAACCACAGGTATGTCTTGGCATAAACATTCCGCGTAGTAAGCAACCATTTCGCGCGATGTGGAACATCTGAACCTAGCTGCCGTGTTCGACATTAAATCCTCAAGTACCGTTTTCGATCGACATCTGGTGCTTTTAAACGCAATGTGCTCGAAGAAATGTGTAATTCCATTCTCGAATAGATTCTCGTATCGTGATCCCGCATCGAAGTACAGCCCCAAACATGCATTATACGAATCTCTTTCCTCTGTTGCAACAGTCAGGCCATTTGGCAGTCGGGTTACAAGTGTGGACGGCAGGTTCCTTAGGTAATTCTGAAATAGAACAGGGTATGGATTATTCCTGATACTTACATAATGAGAGTTACAAGTTTTCCTTAACAAGTTCACGGATCTTAACATTTATGCAAATGAAATAAAGATAGATAATAAAGAGGTAATTAGGTATGTTTTGAGTAACGAGAGAGATGGAAAGATGTCAGTTTGACAGTTAAAAGTTATTGTTAAATTAATAAAGATTTTATTTTAATAACACACAATCATAGACTATCTGTGACACGATACACAATACAGAGGGCCTACTATGAAATGTTTTCCGAAATTTCGGAGCCAAACAAAACAGAAATTTGATGTTAAAATTATATAATACATGCCGTTTAGAAATATTAAAAATGTTAAAATATTGTTTCTTTGGACTTTTATGACAGGATGTATGACGAACGAAATGTTAAACTCCATTTATTGGTCCGATTTTGGTATAAACAAAAACACGAAATTGAGTCCGAGTAGACCCGCCGGAACATATGGTTTACTCTTAAAGCTCATAGATTAAGTAGTAATTGTTAAGGATAGTACTAAACTATATATTTCACAACAGTCATCGCAGACACTATCTTTAATCTTTGCAACAATATTTTCTAGTTTCCCATGCCGGATCAAAATCCCTTCTCACTCGTGTACGCGCTATAGCGGATCCTATATCATCCATGCTGCTAGATTGTCGAATTTTCTTTCTTTCTGTACCCTGGGCGACTAAGGGAGGGCGAGGGATAGGCAACAGCGTCCCTCTTAAAACATCACCAAAGTCTAACTGCGGTTGCTTATCAATATTGCCAAGCATGGCAACTACTGGCAAAATCCTTATGGGGAAGGCTTATGTTCAGCAGTGGACAGTTAAAGTTATAATAATAATAAATGGATAAACTTAAAAATTACTTAAGCGATTTTAAAAATATTTTTACCCACAAGAGCTACATATCACCAAGTATTATGAGCTGGATTTTATTAAAGAAAACACGCGAAGTCGGAGCGAGTCGCCAGTCACATAATCAAGTTAAGGAGGAAAGGGATTGTTAGTAATGGGGTCAAATCGCCCCATTACTAGCAATACACCTTATCAGGTCGACCTTCACGCGGTTCTCCCTGGAAACCATTGTGATTAATACTTCTTGCATTCGTCACGATGGGCTAACTGACCTGCTTTCATACTCATCTATCGTCCTTCACTGGTGCCTCACCAGTGTATACCGATAGCGCAGGCGGGGTCACCATTTCATTATCATCCATTTAAAAAAAATCAAGTTATTCTGTTCGACAGACTATCAACCACAGATAATATAATACTAGCTATAAACTAATCACGTGCACAATATAGAGATTGGAACAACTGCTCGGAATGATCCCTATGTTCGGTGCCAATATTGCCGCAAAATTATTCATGGATGTCCATTCCTTACACGAGCTTAGAGCAAATACGCGCATTAGATTTTTGGCACTAATATTAATGGGTTTATGTGTTAATGGCTCGTAATACATATCGATGAAATCGACCGTTTGCTTATTCAATTCGTTTGGACAATTATATTTATAGATTGGGTTAGACAATTGACATTTCAACATTTACCCCACTAAGTGGTTAAATAATAAGGATTTATGCATTTGGGAATTCAAAATTTAATACCTGTCACGCCTGTCTCCCATTAGGGTAGGCAGAAAGCATTTGGCGTTTCAGCCAAATGCTTCGACTCAAACAAACCTCTTTCGCTTCTTCCACGTTCATCAATCTTTTCATACACGCTCGCCGGTTACGGGTACTTTTAATTTGGCCCTTCTTCAGCACGTCGCCTATTTGGTCGACATACGTCCGTCTAGGGCGGCCCCTACCGACATCTCCATTCGTTCTTGCTCGATAAATCTCTTTCGTAATTCTTCTTTCATCCATCCTCTCCAAATGACCAAACCAACGCAACATTTTTTTTTCGATGTTTGTCACTATATCGTCTTTCAGTCCACACTTCTTTCTAATCACACTGTTTTTTGTACAAAATTTAATAATGGGATAAATAGATACAAAGAAAGATATTTTTTCAACACTTTTTTGTACAACTTAGAATGACAAATAATCTGACGGCCCACCTGATTGAAAGTGGTAACCGTCGCCTATAGACATGAGTAGTACCATGGACATAACAGAGTATACTGTTTCGCCCATGATACCTCCCATGCGTTGCCATTCCTGAGGACTCAGGTGTTATTTGTCTGTACCCTGTAAATTCACTGCTATATCCCACCCTTTAAACCGAAACACAGCCATACACACACAACTGTTTCACGGTTGAAACACGAAAGGGACAGAGATACCCAAGCAAACGACTTTTGTACAAAGTCTCCCTCTGGTATACCATTGTAATAAAATAAGTAGGTGATGTATTAATCTCGTATCGTATAATAAAAATTCCTTTATTGATTTAACGTTAATACTTACTGTGGGCACGAGAGAACAGTGATGCGGAAAAACAATACGCCACTTCATGAAAGACATCAAAATTTTATGAGTTATAAACTTATAACGGAATCGGGAATACCATAAACTTGTTTATTTTTATTTTGCATAAAACGTCAAGGAGCCGCGCCTTATTATCGTAAATGATAATAAAGTTGCCGTGTTACTTTACAGAATTATTTGTTCACGTACTTTGGCAAGTTTTTGGGGCGAATGGTAAGGTATACGTATCATCCAGTTACATTCTGTATTAATAGCAATCAGTAAGCAAACGATCCGTGTCTTTAAAAGTAAAATACTTTTATATTTTTCAGTGGAAGTTATTATAATAAAAAAAGTAAGTAAGTTATATTTTTTTTTGTTTATACATGATAATGGAATGGTAACGCCGCCCGCGCTATCGGTATAGGCTGGCGGGGCACCAGTGAGGGGTAATAGATGAGTATGAAGCAGGCCAGTTGGCCCATCGTGATGAATTTATCAAAGATTAACCAGGAAATTTTTTTATTTACGTTTTTATTAAGATCTATTGAATCATACTATAGATAAAGTATTCGCCGTATGGTCCCGGTATAGAATAGGTTAACCCTGCCTTTCTCATAGGTGTCGTAAGAGGCGATAAAGGGTTGACGAGATTTAGTCAGCAGCGTTTCTCTTAAAACATCTCCAAAGCTTAATTGCAGTTGCCAATCCGCCTGCTAAGCATGGCAACTACTGGCAAAACTTATCCCAAAGGGAGGCTTAGTTCAGCAGTGGACAGTTATGATGTAGGCTGTTATGATGATGATGATGATAGATGAAGTAAAGTGATTAGTGGCATGTACTAGTGCCTCTACTACCCTCACAAGTTGACTTCGCGTAGTTCCTTCTTGAAACCGTTGGTGGATTCGTCTCTTTGGGCCTTTTGGCCTAACATCATCCTCATATTCGTCCTCATTGATAACTAGCAAAGTAAATCATTAATGAGATTAGAGCACTTATGGGCGGGAGCACTTAGATACCAGCTTGTACGCTTCGACTCAGTGCAACGACGAGCTATGAGAATTGTCGATGATACCAGGCTTGCAAGCGGTATCGAACCCTTAAGTCTTAGGAGAGATTTTGCCTCACTCTGCGTGTTCTACCGCTTATACAACGGATTGTGCTCAAAGGAATTATTCAATATGATGCCTGCGGCCACTTTCTATCATCGTACGGCTCGCCATCGACAGGGAGTTCACTCTCATACCTTACAGCCTAAATGGTCGCGTACAACGCGGTTTCACTCAGGTTATGGAATGAGCTCCCTGCCGAGGTTTTCCCAAGAGACTATAGCATGCGGTTTTTCAAAAGGGGGGTAAAGAGGTTACGGTAACCGCTTACCATCAGGTGGGCCGTATGCTTGTTTGCCACCTCAGTGGTATAAAAAAACCATTCTATTCATTATATATATATATATATATATATATATATATATATATATATATATATATAATTATTTATTATTTAAAGTACTTTAAATAATTAATTATTTATAATTAATTATTTAAAGTACGGTAGCCTGACCTTCATAACACTTACTTCATGACACTTACTGTGAACCAATATGCAATGTATATATATGTATATCTTGTTATTGCATCTGTATATTTTCGTTAAATAAATTATTATTATTATTCATTAAAAATAACTGATAATCGGCAGTACAAAATTCGTACAATCTGTTAAAATATACAGCATACGCCCACGCGGCGTGATTATAAATACGAGATAGCCAAAAGCCTCCATTCATCAATCAAGATTGTATTGTACATTTTAAAAATGACGTGTAGCCTCGGGGAAAGAGATAATAAATCGGCATAGACGATCCGGTAAAAAAATTTGCTGACATGTTTTCCATAACACAGATATATATATTTAGACCATAGACTTTTTTAATGGACGATAATAGAATGGTAAACCCGCCCATGCTAACAGTATACATGGCATTGGACATCAGTGAGCGATGACAAGTAAGCATGAAAAGGCAGGTGAGTTAGTCCATCGTGATAAATACATCTGGGATTCAGCATGATGGTTGCCAGGGACTACATGCAGGTCGACCTGACAGGGTAGAATGGTAGTAAAGGGACTGGTAGTTAGCATTAATAACAATTAATTTTCCTGCTCCTCCCATAGACTGCCGTAAGGAACGGTCCTGAACCACTTGCCAGAGGGAGACTTTGTATAAAAGCCGATTACTTGGGTACCTCTGTCCTATTCGTGTTTCAACCGTGAAGTAGTTGTGTTTGCGTGGCTGTGTTTCGGTTTGAAGGGTGGGATATGGCGTGAATTTACTGGGTACCGCGGAATAACACCTGAGTCTTCAGGAATGGCAACGCATGGGGGGTATCAGTAGCGAAACAGTATATTCTGTTATGTTCATAGTACTGCTCATGTCTGTAGGCGACGGTTACCGCTTTCCATCAGATGAGCCATCAGCTTGTTTGCCATTCTAAGTTGCAAAAAAATTGGCATCCAACTTGGTGTATGGGCACCTCCACAGTTCAGCGCTTAGGAATACACAAACCAATTCTACTACTTTATTATTCATAAATATATTTGCTATTAAATATTTTAATTTGGAAGTGGAAACCGTGAG